GATAACTCCACTTAATTAGCAATGAAGCCATGTGTGATGGTCCACGCCTGTAGTCCCAGCTGCTAGGGAGGCTAAGGCAGGAGGGTTGCTGGGACCCAAGAATTTGAGACCAGCCTACAAAAAGAAACAAAACAAAAAATACATTAGCAATGAAAAAGAAAGTATAAGAATAATTGTATCTTTTATATAAGGCCTAAAGGAGGAAAGCTTCAAAACATTCCTGAAAGACACAAAAGTAGACTTGAGCAAATGGAAAGATACCTTTTGTAGCATAAATGTGTTAATTCTCTCCAAGTTAATATATACATTCAATGTGATCCTAATAAAAATATTGACAAGTTTTTGTTTTTTTCCTGGAACTAGACAAGCTGTCACAGGTTAGGTTTCTTGGGAAACAAACTCTGAGGCAATGATTAGTGTACAAGAGCTTAATTAGGGACCACTCTTGGGACCAACAATTTACAGAAGGAAAAGAAAGGGAGAAAGTCTGGATTGGGCAAAGGGAGAATCAAGTTGTGATGCAGCCTCATTGGAAACCTCAGGTGACTGTGTAGGGAATTCTTAAGATGGAATAACCTCCAGAGTTAGTTGTCATCTGGGGTGGGAGGTAGAGGCCTTTTTTTCTTTATTAGTCGAGCTAAAGGTTTGTTGACTTTGTGTATCTTTTTTAAAAAACCATTTAGTTTCATTGATCTGTTCTATTTTTCATTTTTTTTCCCCCTCTCTGGAGACGGGCTCACTTCATCTCTCCCAGTCTGGAGTGCAGTGGCGTGATCACAGGTCACTGTTACCTTGAACTCCTGGGCTTAAGTGACCCTCCCATTTCAGCTTTCCAAGTAGCTAATGATATAAGCATGAACCATGGGCCAGTTAAGTTTTAATTTTTTTTGGTCTTAATTCTGTTGCCCAGGCTGGTCTTGAACTCCTGGGTTCAAGTGATCGTCTAACCTTGGCCTCCCAAAGTGCTGAGATTACAGGTGTGAGCAATGGTGTCTGGCCTATTTTTCTGGTTCCTATTTGTTTATTTCTACTCTGATCTTTGTTATTTTCTTTCTTCTGCTAAGCTTAGGCTTAGTTTGTTTTTCTTTTTCTAGTTCCTTGAGGTATACAGTGAAGTTGTTTATTTGAGATCCTTCTTTTTTGATGTAGGTGTTGTTATAAACTTCCCTCACAGGACTGATTTTGCTGTATCCTGTAAGATTTGGTATTTTGTGTTTCTATTTTCATTACTCTGAAGTATTTAAAAATTTCCCTTTTACTTTCTCCTTTGACCCATTGGTTGTTTGGCGGCATGTTGTTTAATTTACACATATTTGTGAGATCCAAGATTCTTCCAGTTATTGATTTCTAGTTTCATGCTGTTGTGGTCAGAAAAGATACTTGATATGATTTCAGGATTATTAAGTTTGTTAAGATTTGTTTTGTGGACTGACATGATATGTCTAGAGAGTGTTCCATGTGCACTTGAGAAGAATATGTATTCTGTTGCTGTTGGATGAAATGTTCTGTAGATATCTGTTAGGTCCGTTTGGTCTAAAGTATAGTTCAAGTCCAATGTTTCCTCACTGACTTCTTTTTTTGTCTAGATGATCTATCTAACATTGAAAGTGGAGTATTGAAGCGTCCTACTGTTACTGTATTTGTCTATCTCTCCCTTTAGAGCCATTGATACTTGCTTTATATATTTAGGTTTTCTGAGGTTGGGTGCATGTATATTTAAAGTTTTTGTAACTTCTTGATAAATTGACCACTTTGTTATTATATAATGGCATTCTTTGTCTCTTTTCACATGTCTGACTTTTCCATTTACATGAAATATCTTTTTCTGTCCTTTCACTTTCAGTCTGTGTTTGTCCCTAGAGGTGAAGTGAGTCTCTTATAAGCAGTATATATAGTTAGGTCTTTTTTTTTTGAGTTGGAGTCTCTCTCCGTCGCCCAGGCTGGAGTGTAGTGGCATGCTCACTGCCACCTCAGCGTCAACCTGCTGGGCTCTGGCGATCCTTTCACCTCAGCCTTCCAAGTGGCTGGAACTATAGGCACGTGCTACCCCACCCAGCTAATTTTTATTTTATTTTATTTATTGTAGAGACGTGGCCTCGCCAGGTTGCCTGGGCTGGTCTCGAACCCGCAGGCTCAGGCAATCCACTTGCCTCAGCCTCCCAAAGTGCTGGGATTACAGGCTAAACCACCGAGCCTGGCCAAGTCTTGTTTTTTAATCCATTCAGCCCCTTGATGTCTTCCACTGAGAGATGGTAAGAGTTTATCTCTAGGGCTAATGGAGGAAGAAGGCATAGGTAGTGCCGTCCCTCCCGATCTTGCTGGCAGAGGACTCCAGCCTTGTTTAAGGAGAGATTTCAGGACTGGGATTATCACTGGAGCATCCAGAGAAGGAGGCACAGGGAGGGCCCACTTTTCTGGCAAGCGAGAAGTCTCAAAAGCGCACCTCCCAAGAGTGACCTTCTGGTCTGGAGTTATCACTGAAGTAAGCCAGGAAAGAAGGCTCTAGGATTGTCCCTTTTCTTTTCAGTCACAGAGAGGCCCCCCTGCCTCTGTCCTGGGAGAGACTGCAGACATTTATCGAAGGAGCAAGCCAGGGAAGACAGCTCGGGGAGTGCCATCCTCCATTCTTGTTGGCAGAGGCCTTCATCCTCTTTCCACAGAGAGAGGATAGAGCAAGCCAGGGGGGGAAGGGCCACAGAGCGCTGTTCCTCCTGTCCAGGCTCGAGGAGGTTGATTCCTTATTTGCTACATAGGCTCCCAGATACTGGCTTGTTAGAGGCCAGAGCCACAGGGAGCTGCTGGAAAAGCTGCCAGGATTTTGACCTGAGGAACTAGAGTGATGGAGTTGCTGTTTACTGGGATGGTGACAATTAATAGAAGAAGGAGCCCAGTTTGGATATGTTGAGTTTGAGTTGCCTGTGAAGGCCCTGTGGCGACATCAAGGGGGCAGTTGGATATATAGGCCAGAAGTTCAAGGGCGATGTCCAGGCTGAGAACTGCAGTCCTCAAATATGTGCCATGCTGCTATAAACTTCTTTGCCTTCTGACATCCTGCCCCTTTTGCCTACAATCTTTCTCTAAAACACTTGTCGTCATATCCATTTTACATGTACCAAAAGTCAGAGTAGAGTACCCTGTCCTCTGTATTGCCAATTTCCCTACCTTCTCCTTTGTAATGTGGGTTATTTACTTAACATATATTTATTGAAGTATCTACTATGTACCTTAGACACTGTTCTAGGCACTGGGGATAAAATGAGACAAAATTCCAATCCTTACAGTTGGGAGGTGTAGATAATAAGTAAGTAAATAATATTCAGGTAGTGGCAAGTGCCATCAAAGAATAGAAAGCAGTATGTTGGGGGTATAGGTTGCATACAAGCACTACCTTAGCAAGCCTGGTGAGTAAAGGTCTTTCTGCTGAGGTGACATTGAGAGACCCGAATGAGATAAAGGAGCGAGCCCTCAGAAGATCTGGAGGAGCCGCGATAGTACAAGCCAGGAGAACAGCCCATATATAGGCCTTGAGACATCAGGGAGTGTGATGTGTTCCCAGGAAGAAGGCTGGAGGAGCATGACAGGAGAGGTCAGAGAGGTGGGCAAGAGGCTGGGTTATGGAGGGTCTTAAGGAACCTGCCGCGGAGTTTGGATTCACTCTAAGGGTAATGGGAAGCCACAGGAAGGTTTTGAGCAGGAATTGATATGATCTGATTTGTTTTAGAGAGATAACTGTGGTTGCTTTGTGAAATAGGTAGAGTAGAAGCAGGGAGACCACTGCAGTAGTCAGGAGGGTGGTGAGAAGTGTACAATGAGTTGCTTGAAGGGGAACAAGAAAAGGAAGAAACAGAATAAAACGTAGATTTTGTACATGGGCAATCCATCTGCAAGTTCTGTTGATTTGCTGTCTTCCTATAATGTTTAGAATGTGAAAATCCAGAGTTTTTACCATGGTTAAAATGTCCTGTGTGATCTGTCCCTTGTCTACCTCTACCCTTATTCCCTGCACCCTCCACCTTCACTCAGTGTCAGCCAAACTGGTAATTTTCAGTTCCCAGAATTGTTCAAGTTTTTTATTGCCTTATCCAAATGCATACTTCCTCCATCCTAAAATACTACCTCCTCAGAGACCTCTGTCCACCAGCCCTACTGTTTCAAAACTCTAGATTTTCTTTGTAGCACTGGTCACAACTTGCAATTAAATAAACATACAAATATTTTAGTTCTGTTTCCTTCAGTAGATTGTAAGTTCCAGGGAGAGGAGGTACTTTTTCTGTCTCTTTTTTTCCGCTTGACTCTAACACAGTACCTGACACATAGTGGATGCTCAGTATATACTTGTTAAAGGAATAGATGCATGAGAGAACCCTGATTGATAATGTAACATGAGGGAATGAAAGACATTAAAGTAGATACAGATGTTTTACACTGTTCTTCAGATAAGCAGTGAACTTGAGCTTTCATTTTGTTTTTCAAGTGTCAGAGAACTAATAGCCATTTATTTTTAAATTAATTTTGCTTTTGAAGCTGGGCAAGGTGACTCATTCCTATAATCCCAGCATTTTGGGAGGCCAAGGCAGTAGGATGGTTGAACCCAGGAGTTAGAGACCAGCCTAGAAAACATAGTGAGATCTCATCTCTACAAATAAATATAAAAAATTAACTGAGCATGGTGGTGCATGACTATAGTGCCAGCCACCTGGGAGGCTAAAGTGGAAGGATCACCTGAACCCAGGGAGGCTCAGAGGGATCGTTGGAGGCTGCCGCTACACTCCAGCCTAGGTGACAGAGTGAGACTTGCAACTGAAAAAATATGAATTTTACATTACAGTATCTGAAAAACTGCTGTCATTTTGAATTCTGGGCTATATACGTACCGCAAAGATTGGAAGCTTTTCTTCTAATTCGCTACCATGATACTGGTACACAGCACAGTAACAGTTTGAGAGCATTCTGTAACTATCACACAAGTTGACTAATGCTAATTTATTCTTTCTGTCAAGGTTAATCTGAAGCGACCCTGTCCTTTCTGGGCAGAAGATGGCCATTGTTCAATAAAAGATTGTCATGTGGAGCCCTGTCCAGAGGTATAATACATAAATAAAAATAATATGGAAAAGCTTGCTTTCTCTTAGACTTGTGGATAAGCATAAGCTCTATTTTATTTTAGGCTAATGTCAATGGATTTGGACTTGTCAACAAATTCATAAGCTCTCTATTCTTCCCTTTAGAACCAGATAACTGATGATTTTACAGTTGCCACCAAAATGGGGTTTGAAAACATTTGTATCTAGTGATATTGGTGATTGGATGTGGAATTAATATCCAGTAGAATACAGTCTTATTCTAAAATGACAGGAAAGTCAGAGTACTGTTCTATGATTGGATCTGCAGTTGGCTTATATTTCATGCTTTATTGAATTTGCATCTTATGTCATAGACCAAAATAAGTGACTGAATCCTAAACTACTTTAGAGTGGAAATCAGAATGGGTAAAAGCAGGAAATTTTAACCTTGCAATTAGGTTTTCACTTGGCCTTGTTACATTCACATTTTTAAAGAAGGCTATACTTGTTACCAAGAGAATGCTATACTTCAGAATGATTTTTGACATCTAGCATAATTAATTATATTCTTCAACAGTAATTAGTTATAAACTATGTTTTTTTTGTTTTGTTTTGTTTTTTGAGTTGGAGTCTCACTGTCGCCCAGACTGGAGTGCAGTGGCCGCTCCCAGCCACTGCAGCCTCGACCCGCTGGGCTCCGGCGATCCTTCCGCCTCAGCCTTCCCAATAGCCGAAATTACAGGCATGCGCTACCACGCCTGGCTGATTTTTTGATTTGTTGTAGAGATGAGGTCTCGTTGCCCAGGCGGGTCTCGAACCCGCCGGCTCAGGCAATCTACTCACCTCAGCCTCCCAAAGGCGCGGGATTACAGGCTGAGCCACCGAGTCCAGCATAAGCTATGTTTTTATTTCATTTTTGCTTTTCTTATCTAATCGGTTAGTCTAGTTTGTCCTTGAAAATCTGGACCAATGTCCTTTCTAAAGGGAAAATTCTTTAAAAATTTATTATTTTCATTTTCCTTTAAGAACAAAATAAGTATTTTTGTTTAAAGTTCTATTTGATAAACCATTTATAATAATTCATAGATTTGCTTGTTGAAGCTTAACACTAATTATTGGCTTTGTGAGAAGGAATGTTGGACCTAAACATAATTCTCCCATTGGCAAATCCTAGATTAGGTTGGTAAACCCTAGGTCAATCATGGGCCAAAGCCTTCTAGTAATTCAGAATTGCCTAAACTTTAAATGCCATTTTAGAGTAAAAATTAAAACTGTGTGTAATATATTGCAAATAATTTTGAACTTTTAAAAGCTTTCTTTTCTGTGATAAAGTTTATGAAAAAAGGGATTTTTTTAAACCTAAAAATTATATAAACTATAAAGAAATACTGCATTATGAGTTATTAGAGCTGATTTCGGCTTTCTCACTGTATTTGTCATTCGGGTTTCTATACTTTGATTTAGAAGTCTGTGTATTGGAGTAACACTTTACTTTTACCTCATAAGATAGTGTGAAGATAGAATTTAAGTGAATGTATATTGCTCCCCTTGATGAATTAGAACAATGCATTGCCAATCTGTGAAGAAATCTCAAAAAACTTAAGGATCACTTTTTACATTTACATTTTTGCTTTTGTCATTCTTTTCAGAGTAAAATTCCAGTTGGCATAAAAGCTGGGCGTTCTAATAAGGTGAGTCCTTTTTCTTTATTGAATATTGCTGCTTTACACGGTGAAACTTAACCATTTACTGATTGACAGTGATTAACAATAAAGAACCATAATAATTAATAATAATAGAGAACCATAATATGGTTAGTTGGAAAAGGAGACTTTTTGCCTCACAATTCCAAACCCTAATTCTTGCATCAAACAGAGAGGTCATACATTCCTAGCTTCTTTTGAAGTTGCTTCAATTTTGTTATTGGACTCTCTTGAAGAACTATTAAAGCATAACTACAGTGTCAATGTAAGATCTTCTCCTCAGCAGGTGTTTTATCATGCAGGTATTTTCAGTCTTCTGTTTCAACTAGTCAACCTAGCAGGTTCAGGATTATATTGTGTAGAGTAAATAATAACCAAGATATTCTGAGCAAGATACTTTGAAATGGCATTAAGATATTCCTCTGTTTCCGGTTACCCCTTTCTTCTTACGATCATAATTTGTTTTGCCTTTCACATGTTTTCAGGTGACTGTTGACTTTTAGTTTTCCACTATTGTACATACACAGTGAAGATCATCACACCCTCTCTCTCCTGCTTTTGCATCTTCTCTTTGTTTTCTTCTTGCTTTCTCTCCCGGGTAGTCTTTTGTTTGTTTACTTTCTTGTGTTTCTTTTGGTCAGATCTGGAATAAATAAGTAAAGCCATATAAAGGAAGTTGAAACCTCCTGAACTCCTTCCCAGGCCCCTTGTACTTCCTCCCTCTCCCGAGCTGTTTTTCTGAAGTATCCCTCTGTGGTTTTATATTCTTACTGCATGTGTACCTGCAGTTAATATGCAGATTATTTTGTGTAAAAATTTTTATTAATAATATATTTTTTATTTCTTCAGGTTAAAGACATCTACTCAGTTTTATGCTTTTGAAATTTCTGTTGCCATATGTGAATTTTGTTTGTTCATCTTAATAGCTGTACATACCAGTAGTCAGTTGTATGACTGAAACACAGATTACCAGTCCTTGATCGATGGACATTTCAGTTGTTTCCAGGTTTTTACTGTTTCAACCAGTGATGCACTAGTATTTTTGTCCTTTGTCGTCTTATGCATACATATAAGTTTCTCTAGGTCTATATTTAAAAATAGGATTGCCTATCTCAACATTACAAATAATACCAAATAACTTTTTAAGGTGGTTGTACCTTTTTAAAAATTGGTACTTTGGGATTTGGTCTTACTATTGGGGGTGCTGACTCAAGGGTTTTTGCATTTTTGCAGCACTGGATATATGTATGAGGAAGGACCCAAAAAGAACTTAGAATTTATTTCTAAAAATTGTGTATTTATTCTTACATGTTTAAACTTCAGTCAGCTTCAGTGTACTTTCTGTTTGATGCAGTCCACCTGTTGAGATCCTTTCTCTCCTGCTCAAAACAGTTTTTGAACTTGTCCATTTTTATGCCTTTTAGTGCTTCTGCCGCTTTTTGTTTCATCTCGTCCACATCAGCAAAATGCTTCCCTTCGAGGGCTTTTTTTCATAAGGGAAACAAAATAAAGTAGCTTGGGGAAAGATGGTGGTCATGGTGTTTTTGATCAAAAACTGCTGAGCACTCAGTGCGGTGTGGGCAGGTGTGCTCCTCAATCACCCTTCATGAAATGGGCAAACACATTGAAAGAATTTCCAAAAAGAATTCATGGAGCCGAACACAGCCTCTCACAACAATGCTAGCCGATGGCGATGGGTTCCTAGAACACTCACCTAGAAGGGGAAGCCTGCCCTCCAAAAGATAATACTAGGCTTTTTTGGGTCCCCCTTCATATATTGTCAAATTTCTTTCCCAGGGTTTTTTTTTTTTCCAGTTTACATCATCACCAACACACCAGTGGTAACTGTTAAATTTTAATGTGTTGGCTTACTTAGTTGGTGGAAATTTGTGCCTCATTTTCATTTTTATTTCTTCCATATGATAGGGATTTTGTTATTGTTGGCAGATTGATTATTCTGCCTATAGAAGCTGAAATAAAGAGAAAGGTAATAATTATTGCTAAATATATTATGAACTTCCTTGCAGTACTTGAAAGTGGCAAACAATACCAAAGAATTAGAAGCCTGTGAGCAAGCTAATAAACTGGGAGCAGTTAACAGCACATTAAGGCAAGTTTTATTTTGGTAGAATTAAGAAAACGTTCTCTTATTTGGTTTATATCAATAATCTGTTTTCTTTGTGAGATTAGTAAAACATTTTTATAACCATTAAAGTTTTAACTAATACATTATTTTTTAACTTTTATTTTTTTATTTTAAAGATGTGTACAATTCAGGGTTAGTTATACAAATGTTAATTATGCAGGTACCCTTGTTGATGAGGTGTGCCCTCTGTCCCCAGACAGATATCGACTACCATTAATCCCACCTCTCTTCCCCTCCCTCCCCCCCATATTTTCCCGCCACTGTCAATCCTTTTCTTATAGTATTACAATAGTTGTTCAGGATCCACTTATGAGTAAGAACATGTGATACTCAGATCTTTGTTTGTGAGAGATCACTCAGAACTAATACATTTTTAAAAAGAAAAAGTTTTTCTTAAATTCCATAATAACTTTATCTTTTCTTGGCTGATTTGTCCTTAAATATCTAGAATGTATCATCAGTAGTACATCTATTAAAAGTGGAAATGTAGCTCAGCTAGCAGGATTTATAGGTCCTTTCTTCCTGATTATTATAGGAAAAGGGGCTTGAGCCTCTAAGTCTTTTATAAATAGGAATTCAATCTGTATGTTACATTTTGAATGATAAAAGTTGCTATTAGCATAATTGTTAAGTTTCATAGATTTCTTTTTTTCTGTTGACTTTTCTTTATTTGTTCTAAGCACAAACCTACTTTTGAAGGCCAGTGTAAATAATTTATAAATGGCCTCAGATTGTGCAGTATAAAATGACTAGACATAATTGGTAGTTGGGAATGGAATGTTACAGAAATTCTTTTTAATTTCCATTTGTTTAGGTTTGTATTTATGTACTATAATTGCTAATGACTCATAATAAAGTTAGCAGTCTTATTTTATTGGAGAAAAGTTTTAATGTAGAAAAAAGTAAAAGGGATAATATAATAAGCACCCACATATCCTTCATCCCAAATGAATAACTGTTAACATTTTCTACCACTTTTTTTTTTTTTTTTTGAGTTGGAGTCTCACTCTGTCGCCCAGACTGGAGTGCAGTGGCTGCTCCCAGCCACAGCAGCCTCAACCGGCTGGGCTCCGGCGATCCTTCCGCCTCAGCCTTCCGAGTAGCCGGAATTACAGGCATGCACTACCACGCCCGACTGATTTTTTGATTTATTGTGGAGATGAGGTGTCGTTGCCCAGGCGGGTCTCGAACCCGCGGGCTCAGGCAATCCACTCACCTCAGCCTCCCAAAGGCGCGGGATTACAGGCTGAGCCACCGAGCCTGCTCTACCACGTTTTTTAAGAAACATGAAACATCACAGATAAATTTAATCCTTTATGTTATTCCCTGTTTTCTTTTTGTTCTTAAAAGTAACTACTATCGTGAATTTGGTACATATCAAGTCTCTTTTTGTTTTTATCATATATATATTTATACATATGAATAATATAGTTTTATTTTGCATATATGGTTTTATTTTTCCTTAATATAAATAATACACTATATTTAACATTCTGCAAATTTATTTTTTTATTGTTCATTTTGCTTTCTGGATCTGTTCATGTTGAAATACATAAAGATTTGTCCCATTCTTTTAACTGATGATTTGTATTATATAAATATACCATATTTTACTTATCTGTTCTCCTACTGATGGATGTTTAGGCTATTTCCAGTTTTTTACGTTAACAAACATGCATTCCTGAATATGCTTTTTATTGTACACTAGAAGTAAAATTGCTGAATCTTAGCCTTGCTCTTTTGTAATTGTTTTTGATACTGTCTGATGGCACTTCATAATACTTGGTGTGAATGTATACTGACTCCAACGCCAAGAGCTTGTTTTGTTCTCCACACTCTTGCCAAAGTTTGATAATATTTAATGAGTATGAAATAGTATCTCATTTTTGTTTAATTTATACTTTGTGATTACTAGTGGATTTGAGAATTTTTAGTTTATTTATTGGACATTTGAGTTTCTTATTCATTCAACAAATGATTGCCTACCAATGTGCCAAGCACTGTCCTAGGGTACTAGGAATACAGTCGTGTACATGATAAACAGAATTTCTGCCCTTGTGTAGCTTCCTCTTTGGTGGAGGAGATAACACAATAAATTAGTAAAATGTCTGAGAAGTAAGTAGAATGATGAGTGCTAGGGGAAACATTGAAGCCGGGAAGAAGAAGAGGGAGGGCTGGGAGTCAAGGGATGGGTCGCACTGTTTTAAACTGGGTGGTCCGGGAGACCTAAGCAACCGGACTGTGGAGCATATTTTTAAGGAGGTGAAGGCGTAGGTCTTAATATGGTTGTGGGAGTACTCCAGGTACAGATAAGTGTTAGTTACAAGTCCCCGTGGCAGGATCATGCCTAGACTATCTGAGGAGCTGCCAGGAAACCAATGTAACTGGAGCACATTGATCAAGAGCAGAGTTAGAAGACAAAGTCCAAAGATGCTAGGGCCGGGGGCAGGGTGGAGAGTGGGTGGAGATTTTGCAGAGCTTCGCAGGCAATTAGAATGAATACTGCTTTTAAACTGAGTGGAATGAAAAGTCATTGCAGGATTTTGAGCAGAGGAGTGAGAGAATGTGTTGAGGGAGCCTGATGTTATGTTGTGGAGGCCTGGTTATGTGATTATTTAGAGCCAAGTAAGACATTACGGTGGTTTAGACCAGGGTGCTAGCAGTGGAAATGATGAAAAGTGGTTCGATTCTGGATATATTTCAAGGATAGAGCTGACAGGATTTGCTGGAGGATTGAATATGGAGTATGAAAAAGATAGGAGCTTTATGGATGACTACAGGATTTGGAGCTTGATATAAAATTATAGTTCAATTTTGGACTTAAGTTTGAGCTGCCTGTGAGCCATCCAGTTGGAAATGTTAAGTAGACAGTTGGATATACAAGTCTGAAGTAGGGACCATGTCTGGGAGTCAGACAATTAATATATAATATTTGGCAGCAGCAAACCCGAAGAGATAACCAAGGAAAGAACGGAAATAGAGAACTGATTGAGAGATTAAGCTTAAGTTATTGCAGGATTTTGAGGTAAATTGCCTGTTCATATACTTTGTCATTATTTCTCCCTTGGGGGGTTGGATTTTAAAATTATTATTTGTTCTTGTTGATGGATTGAACCTTTTATCATTATAAAAAAATTATTAGTTTGTAGGCATTCTTTATGTAATCTAGAAGTCGTTTTTTTGTTGGCTATATTGGTTGCTAGGGCTTGTCTTTTAATTTTGCTTACAATTTTTGTTGAACGGAAATTATTAATTTTTTAAACTTTTAAGTGTAAGTATAATACACATTCACTAAAGTATAAAATCTTAAATGTGAAGATCAGTTTTACAAAGTGAACCTAACCTATTATCCAAAGCAAGATACTTGCTACCCAGAATATTTCCATGTGTACTTCTCCTAGTCATTATCTCCATCCAGTATTAACCATGATGACTCTGAGTTACACTGGCATAGGCTGGTTTTGCTTGCTTATGAAAATGAATAATATAGTACACTTTTTTGTTTCTAGCTTCTTTTATTTACATATGTCTGTGAGAGTCATTCATGTTGTTTAGTAGCAGTCAATTCTTTTTTTTAATTGATGTGTAGTATTCTGTAGTAAGAATGTGCCATGTTTCCATCCTATTGTCGAAAGCTCAATGCTTTCTACTTTGGAGTCATTTCAAAAATATTTTAGTGGATACATGTATACATTTCTGTGGAGAATGCCTATAGGCGAAATTAGGTACTGCTAGATGGTTTTCCAAAATTACTACCAAATTTTATTGTCACTAACAGTCTATGAGAGTTCCTTGTTCTACAACATCTTTTTAGTGCTATAATTTTTAAGCAGGTTTATTTTGAGGTATAATGACATGCCATACACTGAACATATTCAAGGTATACAGTTTGATGTTTTGACATGCGTACACCTACAGAACATCATCACAATTAAGATAGTTGTCATATGTATCAACCCCAGAAGGTTTCTCATTCCCCTTTTAATCCCTCCATCCAGTGTCTTCCTGCTCCTTGTTTCTCAGTTTGGATACTATTACTTGAGCTTCACAGCACCATCTGGACAGGAAAGCACTGGTTAAGTCCAAGAAATTCTTATGCAAGTAGTATTGCATCCATCCCCAAACTGACTTTTGGAAAAACTGGACTAGATGACCTCTAGGATTCCATGTAACTCATTTATATCCCAAACTGGACCTCCTCTGTGTGCATTAGATGAGCATTAAGTATTTTTTTCCACTACCATAGCTTTAGGCAGAGGTTAAGTGAAACAATCAGCAAAGCCTTCTCAAATGAGGGTGTTCAAGGAAAATGTTCGTGTCAGTCAGTCATTTTGTTGGCAAGAAAATAGGAATTTATATCACATTGGATTTGTTCTTCACTATTTTCAACGTAAGACCTATCTTATTAAACATAACTATAGTTATATTAGCTGTAACTAGGCATTCTTTTTTATGGCATCACATATTTCAGCTGAGTCAAGTGTGATACACATTTTTTCATTAAGTCAATTAGATACCTATAAGAAAAAAATTCCATGGTAAATTGAATTGGAAAATTTATTAATAAAGTTAATGTAATACAGCCAGTCTTATACACTTCTTTATAGTGGTTATATTATGTAGCAGTTTCTCAACGAAGAAATAAATTCTTGACTGTGACAGTACTGCATTTAGGAATTACCTAATTTGTACTTGGTACAAAAACAATTTTTTTATACTTTGTTTTTTTTTCCTTTTGTGTAATAAATAGAGAAGGGTAGTAAAATGATACTTCTCTGATTGATGTGCCACCATATATTCAAGACAGAGAAGGCCTGAAATATAGGTTAAAGTGAATGTAGATCAAAGCTGATTTGAATGTAGTTCTTTCTTATCAGTTTTTGAAGTTAGAAATGTTGATCATAGATTTTGTTAAATGTGAGGTAGGATATAAAATAAATGGAGTACCATGATAAAACTGGCATCGGTATAACCAGTGAACACCACATTGGATGGGAGATTATAGAAATACAGCTCTTCATATTTTGGATCTTATAAGTAGAAAAGCAATTTAAATTAAGCAATTCTGAAAGTAAATTTAATTCCTACTTCAGGAAGAAATATAAACATTTTTATAATTTCAAGTCATTTGGAAAGTTCAGCTTGATTTTTGTTGTTTAACAATATGTATTTGTAAATTAATTTTTAGTCAAAATAACTTATTGAACTAGGCTTAATAATTTTAATGTAGTTAAGAAATATAAATCACTCATAGACGTTAATATCTATATTTTTCACATAACTTGTTTTTATCATTCCTTCATGTAATCACTGATAGAATTTGTGATATCATAATAAAGAAGTAACTTCAGATTGTCTATTATAATTACACTAGAATACAATGTTAAAGCTTTCAATTCCAAATTTAATCATTTTTCTTTTTTATTTCTCCTTCCCATAGTCATCAAAGCAAAGAAGCTTTCATTGACTGGGCAAGATATGATGATTCACAGGATCACTTTTGTGAACTTGATGGTAATAAAATAACTATTGTAATTAAAGTATTTTAATTTTAACCCTTTTATAAGACATTTAAATTATGAAAATATACTCTTGAGTTATAGCTGTAATTCTGGATTTTGCTATGCAAATCTCTGGGCATTTATTGAGAGTCTGTTGTTCCAGGCCCTGTGTTAAATGCCTTAAGTAGATTATTTCTAATCTGTACAGCTACCTTAATAGGTGTGCATTGTTTTATATCTGAGAATACTGAGCCTCAAAAAAACCAGGTTGCCCATTATCACACAATAGCTAGAGGCTGAGACAGGGTTTGATCCCAGTCTGACTGAATCTAAAACCTGTATTCTTTGAATTACTTCATATCATCTCCTACATAACCTTTAGCCACAGACCGAGTTAAAAGGTCTGTAAATAGTTTATCAAAATGTTTATACTGGAATTTGCTGGAGGTCTTAACTAACTCACATAAAGATGCCTTTAGTACCAGGGAAGACTCTACACTGACTTACTCACAGACGTTTTTCTAAGTGTCCCCTGGAGTGGTACAAAGACTGGATACTCTCCACCTGAATAGCTACAACTTCTCTTAACAGAAGCTAATTGCTGTGACTCAGGATATTTTTTACTATAGGATGATAGTCCCAAACAATTGTGCTAAGTAGGCTTAAATCGCTTGTTTGGCCTCTCTTCATCTTTTACCTTGGTAATATTATGTTTTTGGTGGTGGAAAAGAATTTGGGGTTCAGCATGCATAGTTGGAAGTAGTCGTTTTTTAGAACTCTTCAAGCATCTACAGTGATTATACTGCTTTCTAAAGTTTTAAAAAAGGTTCACAGGTACAATAGTGCTATTAGTCCAACTGTAGCAGAATAAGTTACAGAGAGCTTCTACTGTAGGATGGTAAGTTGACAAGGATGCTGGGAGAGAGAATGTTATCGTGGTTTCTGTGGTTTCAGTAAGGGCATTTTTAAGGAATCTGAGCAAGATGACACGAATGGGGAATTAATAAAATGTCCCCATTACATGTATAGAATTACCCAGGTTTTATCAAAGCCACTGAGCCTCGGCCTGCTCTTTGGTTTTATTGCAATTACATCCACGTGCTTAACACTCACGGTCACTTCTTTCCAAATTCCCATTTTACCTGTTCTTTGACTAAAGTTTAAAAAAGAATAGTGCTTATTTAATGGGGTTTCAGATTAATACATCTTTTACTTGCCATAAATATGCTAGATTACCTGTAATCAGTATAAGTAGTATTAACTATTTTTTAAAATGTTAGTTTCTTAAATTATAGAAATGGAAGTGCTCTCTTATAAGAATTTACATGAAATTATCTTGTAGGATTTTCAGGATTATATTTAATCAGTGATTTTTATATTCCTATAGATATGAAAACCATAGTACCCACTAATTGGGCTATGACTACTCTTCTGAGTAATAATGTTCATATGCATTCCAGTGTTTTACATCTATAATTTTTTAAATGACTGTCAGAGTAGCTTTCGAGTACTTTTTAGTTACTCCTGTCATTTACATTCAATGGATTAAAACAAAAATCTTAAGAATATTCCTCCCAGTTTATTAGTAACATATTCTATACCTCATTCCTGCTTTGTTGTTGTTGGTATTATCTTTATTTGAATGGAAAATGATACCTGTAGATCAAATAGTATCTGTAGTATCAATTTATAGATGAAATTATTTAGCAATTTAATACCCTTTAAGGTAAACTGCTTTCCCTGCCCCACTCTATTTTTGTTACTGTCTTCTCACATAGCTTGCTTCTTCCTTTGATTCATGTGTCTGCTCACATGTCACCTCATCAGAAAGGCCTGCCCTTATGTCCACTATCACTCCCTGTCCCTTTGCACTGCTGGTTCCCCTGCTCCCAGCACTAACAACTACCCGACAGTATATGGCATATCATTTAGCTTATTGGTTTGTTGTCTGCCTTCTCCAACTAGATTGTGAGCTACTTGAGAGCAAAGGCTTTGTCTTTTTGGTTCACTGTGGTGTCTCTAGTGCCTAGAACAGTGTCTGCACATGGTAGGTGCTTGATAAATATTTGCTGAATGAAGTAGTTAGTTCCTAAACAGCCTAGATAGCTTTTTGCTTTTATTTTTTCCTTTAAATCATGTTTATAAACAAATTTAAAATGTTACTTGAAACAGTAATTTCTAAACCTGGCTGTGTCTCAAAATAACTTGAAAGGTTCATAAACTGTACATTCTTCTTGACTTTATAAATCATGTTTTCACACTGAGTTAGTAGCCATTTGAGGAAGGACTGGTGATGGAGGGCTACAGGCTCAATCTTGAGTCTGTAATATAATATCTAAAAATCTGTGACCATAAGCAAAAAGTCTGCACAGTAAGCTGGCCTATGCCACCATTATGGTTTAAAACATCTATGAGTTAGGAGGCAGGGAAGATTGTTTAACATCCTAGAAAATGTGGTATTACCTCATAACACTAATATTAAATTAGAACTGTGAAAATAAAATTTATTTGGGGAAAAATTGAGGAGGAGGAAAGTAACATTAGTTCAACTTGATGAATTTCCAGAATTAGGAATTCTGATTGAATAGAAATTCTTAGAATCCTTAGGTAATGATTAGCATGGTCAAGTAGAAAGAACAGCTTCAGAGCAGCTTTGTAGAGGGAGGAAGACATAATTAGAGAGCCAGAGAGAAATGGCTGAATGAACGATGCCCCTGTGTAAATGGAGAGAAGTTATAGTTTAGGAATAAATGAAAATCAGTGCCACAGGGTAAGGATGGGCACCAGCACTAGTGTGTTTATGGTGAACTTATTATCCTGTATATGCTTTCCCTTACATGTTGCTCAATCTGGATGTGATGAAATTTTTATTTTTGAATGTTTTTTCCATGCAAGTTTCTGTGAAAGACATTAATTATTTCGTTATTTTTGATAGCTGAATAGTATTCCAAGGAACAATATTCTTAAGCTTCCTAGAGGATTTAATTTTCATTTTTACTTTTTTTAAATGTTAGAGTTGTGGGGTGCAAGTGGGGATTCACTCCATAAGTAGGCTGCCTGCGGGGGAAGCTTGGGCCTCTGGCTGGGCCTCTCCCTCCAGTAGTGGACCAGGTACCTAGTTTGTTGCCATGTGTCCCCCCTCCCTCCACCCTGTCTCCATTAGCAGTGTCCAGTGTCTGCCGAATCCACTCTTGTGCTAGTGTGATCAGTAATCAGGGCCCACTTATGAGTGAGAACGTGTGGTATTCAGTTCTTTGTTTCTGTGATTGTTCACTTAGTATGATGGTCTACAGCTGTATCCAAGTTGCTGTGAAGGCCATGATTTTGTTCTTTATGGCTGCTGGATGTCATGACATTTTTGTCAGTGTAGAACAGAGGTTGACAAGCTTTTTCAGTAAATGAACAAATAGTAAATATTCTAGGCTTTGTGGACTGTACAGCCTCTGTTGCCACAACTCAACTCCGCCTTTATAGGGTGAAAGCAGTACGTCTGAGCGTGGCCGTGTTCCAAGGAGACTCTATTTACAAAAATAGGCAGCAGGCCAGATGTGGCCCATGAGCTATAGTTTCAACCCCCAAACCTACTCAGGAGACTGAGGCAGGAGGATTGCCTTAGCCTAGGAGGTTGAGGCTGCAGTGAGCCATGATGGTGCCACTGTATTCCAGCCTAGGAGACAGAATGAGATCCCAACTCAAAAAATGAAAAAGAAAGTAGTTTTAAAGACTGATATAATTGAGTTGAGTGTGGTGACCAGGACCTGTATAGTCCCTGCTACTCGGGAGGCTGAGGCAGGAAGATCACTTGAGCTCCGGATTTTGAGTCTAGCCTGGGCAACATAGTGTGACCCCGTCTCTTAAAAAAACAGCAAAACAGCTTTATATAATTGATTTTTCTCTTGCGATTTTTAAAAAAAAACTCCTTTAAAATATGCTTTAAATCAATATGTTTTAATTCTGAATCAGAGTTTTTTTTATTTATTGGTTATTTAGTTTTGTGAAAGAATATGGTACTAGTCTACTCTGCACATTCATAGAAGACCCTGTACACATGTGGCCCGACATGCACACGCACACAAATTACTTATAAATGTGTACATACACATATTTACATTATATTTAGCTTAAAGTTTGTATATAACTGAATCAGTTTTGCAATGAATTTACTCAAGAACAGCTCATGGAAATAAAAAATATATAGCATTATGGATATTTAAACTTTGTATCATTCTTTTACTAAGAGCCACACTGTTTTAGAGACAGCGTCTCGCTCTGTTACCCAGGCTGGAGTGCTGTGGTGCGATCACAGCTCACTGTGACCTCAAACTCCTGGGATCAAGCAGTCCTCCCCAGTAGCTAGTACTATAGATGTGTGCCACCATACCTGGTTAATTTTTTAAAATTTTTTTGTGGAGACGAGATCTCATCATGTTGCCCAAGCTGGTCTTGAACACTTGGCCTCAAGCAATCCCCTCACCTTGGCCTCTCAACATGCCAGGATTACAGGCGGGAGTCACTGCACCAGGCCAAAAGCTATACTTTCAATAACTTTATGATTTGAATTTTTATTTTTAGATTAAGGCTTGAAAAATTGCTGTTTTTAAGTCCTGAATCAGTCTGTGTTCTTTACTTGGACAGTTTTTGTCTATCTATCTGTAAATTGTTTCACCTTATTTTGTATAATTGATTATCTTTATAATTTTAGGGCTAGAAATAGAATCAATATTCTTATTGTCTGTACAATCATGTTTTCATTGTCTGTAAGTCAGAAACCCACTTAATAATAGTAAATTGTTAATTATCTTTGTAGTCTCCCAAAATTATGAAAGTACCAGGTGGTTCTTGGAAGCCATGGATTAAGCTGTCCTTTTGCCCTTTTGATTATGGATAATCCCACTCTGTGGTCAGTGAATGTCCAACGAATATTGTTCAGACAGGAAAATATACTATCGGGCAATAGAAGAAAGAGGAACATTTAATGACCATATTTGGCCCCTGTTTTACCAGGTGCCTATGTTCTATTGATTTACTCACATGACAACAAAAGTTAGTAAGCATATCAATCAAGGAATACAACCAGGTGCTGTCATTCCAGCACTTTGGGAGGCCAAGGTGGGAGGATTGCCTGAACCCAGGGGTTTAAGACCAGCCTGGGCAACTTGTCAAGACCTTGTCTCTACAATAAATTAAAAAAAAAAATTAACCTTGCATGGTGGCGCACCCCTGTAGTAGAAGGCTAAGGCAGAAGGATTTTCTGAGCCCAGCAGGTGGAGAATGTGGTAGCCATGATCGGGCCACTGCATTTCAACCTGGGTGACAGAGTGAGACTTCAACGCAGAAGAAAAAAAAAATTTATAAATAAATAAAGGAATGCATCTCTGCCAACATATATATAACACTTTGCATGTGTTATAAGCATACATTTGTGAAGCATAGGCATTATAATTGTGTTTCCTATTTCTACCCGTAATGTGAGCCTCAATAACTAAGATAGTTTATCTTTTGTATTCCTGAGAGATCTCTATTAAAATGTTGTCCATATAGTGGAGACCTAGTAAATACTCATTTGGGTTTAAATGTGGAAAATGCTTATTTAATTTTAAATATTTCTACAAGTTTTTGAAGGCTTACCTACTATGTATGAGTCAGAACGAGAAAAAAAAAAAAAAAACCCAATATGCTAACATTGGGAAAAATAAATTTAACAAATGTATTTTTTTAAAAAAACTAGAGCATTGTGTATCATTGTGAATAAGCAGATTTGAATCATAAAGTCATTAAGCCATTTACTTCAGAAGTCCAGGTAAAGACTAACAGAGAAATTTCTATGGTATGTATGTATATACAATATATGTGAACAAAATGTCTTCAAGCATGTGGTGAGGTAGGTATACAGTTAGAAGAAATAACATACAATAATAAAGCAGGTTATAACTGTTTGATCTTTTCAATCCTGGGTGGCTAAAACTTAATAAATGACTAAATGTCTCTAATACGACGAGGGATGTTATGTTACTTAAGAGTACTGAGTATCCAAAGGAAAAACAAGAATTGTTTTTTCTTTTCAAGTTGTCTGTCCAAGTTTTTACAAATTGTGGGTTAAGAACAGCCACAAGTGTGCTAACCACTCTACCATTTAAGTTGGAGATTGCTTGACAAGCACAGCATTTCTTTTACCTTTGGGTAGTCTGTTTTGCTGTATACTGCTAAATTTTAGGTAAATGGTGAAATATGGATGGCTTTTATGAATTGTTTCTTATCCAGATGAGAGATCTCCAGCTGCCCAGTATGTAGACCTATTGCTGAACCCTGAGCGTTACACTGGCTATAGAGGGAGCTCTGCATGGAGAGTGTGGAACAGCATCTATGAAGAAAACTGTTTCAAGTAACTGGAGGGGTGGGGAAGGAGGAGTGACTGACTGAAGGGAGGGTAGGGGAGGGCAGTATTTGTTTATGTTGGAGAAGCAGTTATATGCTGTAAAAGCCCAATCGCTTTATGTTTGGGTATTATGTTTTTTTCCAGGCCTCGATCTGTTTATCGTCCTTTAAGTCCTCTGGCGCCCAGCCGAGGTGGGTTTTTCACGTGTATGCTGTCATGCTTTTAGAGGCTGTTTACAAAATGCCTTTGTAACTATACCTTATGTTGAAAAAATGTTCACCTATTTTGTATTTTGCTTAATTTGAATGATCAACAAGTCTAAGTCTTAAGATTTCAATGTATGTTTTATATAATTACTGCCATTTATTGAGTGCCTGCCTTGTTCCAGACCCTAAATTTCATGTAAAGTAAATATGTGAGTAATCCATACACATCAGCGATTTCCTGGGGACCACTTAAAAATCTGAATGCCCAGGTCCTACCCCACACTAAGTCAGACTCTTTGGGACAAGAATGCAGGTGTTGGCATTTTTTAAACTTCAGGTGGTTCCAGTATGCAGCCAGGTCTGAGAACCAGTGGCTCATAACAACAGTGCTCCTCAAACTTCAGTGTGCATGCAGATCACCTGGGAACCTTGCTAACATACGGGTTCTGAACTCTGTGTCTTAGGGCAAGCCCAGTTCTAATAAACTCCCAGGTGCTGCCGAGGCTGACGTGTACACTTCGAGTCAGAAGTATGTAGAGAAGTTCTGAAACTTAGGCTGCCTTCAGCAGTACTTTAGACCCGCGCTGACCAGTAAAATAATCATGTTTAACATGGCGCTGTTGAACACATGAAATGTGGCTAGTGTTAAACTGAATATTAAAATTTACTTAATTTTGGTTTGTTTAAATTATAAACTGAAGCAGTGTAAAATATCATTGTCATTAAACAGCACTTTATTGTTTTGGTAAGACTAATCCTTGCATCACATAACATATTTTGTTGTGTTTGTATACTTGTTTTTCTTTTTAAAATGTGGCTATTAGAAAAATATTTATTATTGATTTTATTTTTTTTCGAGTCAGGGATCTCACTTTGTCATCCATGCTGGAGTATAGTGGCATAATCATGGTTCACCACCACTTTGACCTCCTAGACTCAGGCGATCCTTCTGTTTCAGCCTCCTTAGTATCTGGGACTAGAGGAGTGTGCCACCACACTTGGCTAATTGTTTTTATTTTTTGTAAAGATTAGGTCTGTCCATGTAGCCTCGGCAGGTCTCAGACTCTTGGGCTTAAGCAGTCTTCCTGCCTTGGCCTCCCAAAATGCAGGGATTATAGGCGTGAGCCATGGTGTTCAGTCAGAAAAACTTTAAATAGCATATGTGACTGGCATTATCTTTCAACAGGGGACAGCATTGCTGTAGTCAGTTGGGCAAATTCTGTTCTCAATGAGGAACCAAACTCTGGGAGAAACCCTATAGTTGACCTAACTTTCAACATTTTGTCTAGACCAGGACTGATTTAAGAAATTGCATTTCCTGGTTTAAATTTGTATCTTTAGGCCTTTCTGAGAACCAAACTTCTAGAATTGGGAGGGTCGAATGCACAGACTGCTTTTACATTCTCACTCTGTCACAATGTGGTAAATAAATACTCTTTTTCCCCAAATTCATTCTGAAACTGGAGAAGGGAGTTGGTCATGAAAAAGGCATACATGACTACTTTGCCTCTTTTACTACTTTTACCTTATAACTCTTCTACTTCCACTAAGAGGCTTTAATGATACAAAATTACATAAACATTGAAGCAATACAGCAGTTACATGAAGGAAAAAGGGAAAGCACTCTGTCCGCCCCCTTTCTGTTCCCTAGTGCAGAGTTTGGAAGGCATTCTTCCAGACTTTTACTAAGTCATTTTTTACTTTGAAAGCAGAAAATATAATTGTTCACTTAATAAACCACTAAGTCCTAAGAAACACTCCACTTCTGTGTTAGAATAAATTAGAGACATGCCACTCCTGAAAAGAATCCACTACTTAGAAAAAGAGAGAGGGAAGAGGAGAAAAGAAAAATAATAAACATGAAAGAGAAAGACAAAAGACTGGGTAAGGGGAGAGAAGGGTTCCAGCTGTTACAAGGATATGCCATGAAGTAATGACATAGCTCTTCTGATGCTGTTTGCATGTTGTCTTCATGGAAACTGTTGATTCACAGCCCTTCAGTGGGCCACACTAACCCTGAGTTGTAACCCCGAGGTTTCTACAACGATTTTTCCATGTTTTTGAGCAAGAAAACCTTTTTTCCAAACATTAAATCTCACATGAGAATCCCTCGTGTCAAGCTGGCAGGCAGCTGCTGTGGCCTCTTGCTCCCCACCCTTCCTCACCCCCAGGCAGCACTGACGCAGCGGCTGGCTGAGGACTTCACTGGCTCCAGTGGGAGACCCTCTGAGAAGTGCATCTGAGATGAGGAGCAGTAATCTGGACGGGAGAAGCATTCCAGCATAGACAGTGTTCAGAGAGGGTTGTGCACATAACGAGGAAAGGACGACTTTGGATGTTTCCTAATTATTGAAACTAATGGTCTTCGTGATTATTTTTAATTGCTTTCTGATATTTTATTATTCATTGTGTAAAACGTGAAAGTCTTGTACTCTTTGGTCTGTATTCTTATTTAGGAGGCCTCATTTGCAGGCTGACTACACACTGACCAAGGTTCATGATATAATTAATAGTTTGACAGTTTTAATCTTAAAATAAATAGAATCTGAGTTGTATAAGACATTTTCTAAAATCTTTTCCATTATTTTCTCTTGTAGGCGAAAATGATGGTGAGTTGAAACTCTTGTATTTGTGTTTGTTTCAAATGTAGAGAAGATGTTTTTAACAAAATTTGCTCTTATCTTGTTTTTTCAGAAAATAGCTACTAATGAATGGTGACCCCAAAATATTATGTTTTATAATATAAAGTTATCGTATGTTTTTAAGAAGTGTAACATTTAGGTTTATCTAAAGGTTTAAATGTTTAGCTTAGTTTCAAGTTCCCCATTTTCTGGTTATTATATCATTTACTTGAATATGTTCTGAAGAAATGGAGAGAAATTAAGATAGTTTAACCAGATAATTGGTCTTGTGTCCTCTTTATTCTCTTATTATCTTTGAAACCTCAGTTATCAATGTAACACTTAATCTGATGAAAAGCAATTTATCAGCCATTGTTACTGAATGCATATTGGTCACAAGGTACCCCTAAAACAGCCAAAACAATGATTTCAAGTGGATGTTTACTTCCGTGTGTTTCAAGGGCGCTGTGATTGGGTACAGGAGGTGTGAGGACAGGAAGATGTTGAAAACATGATGCCCTCCCTCCAGGAGCTGATGATGTACACTGAAGCAGGAAAGATGAGCACTAGACATAAGCGGTGGTAATGAGGGAAATAAAATACTCCAGGCACAGTGTAGGTGATACAGCTCCTTAGCGGGGAAGCAGATCACATCACAATGTAATGATCTGGGAAAGCTTACTGAAGGAGGTGACATTGGAGATGGATTTTTAATAATGGGGGCAGATTTAGACAGTAGAATTGGATACTGTCTAAATGAGTTAAAAGAAATATCATGAATCCAGAAGTTGAGAAAGGAAAAGCTAGGCATGTTTGGGGAGACAATAGGTGACCCTTTAGCAGTAGGAAAGACTACTGTGGTAAGTTAAATCAGAGAGAGGGATAGAGACCAAACTGAGGACCTTGGGAGCTCGACTTTTCCTGTTGGCAGTTAAGGTTTTTTGAATTAACAAGTGAGATAATGACAGATCATCCCTAGTGAGTATATGTTGAATGAATGAATCTGTAGAAAGTGGTTTGTATTGCTTTGCAAAGTGTGAAGACTCTCAGGAGGCAAAGTAATTCCCCACCAGCTAATTTATGCTGTACACTCCTTACTTGGCTCATCTGTGTGTGTTGTTGGGCTTTTCTTTAATTTCTGTCATTTTTATCACTGTCAGCTTAAAAAATAATGATAGCTAACTTAAAAAGTACATTCACAATTTTTATCCTTATTGATTGCAGTTTTTTTTGATACACACAAGAGTATTGGATCAGAAATAGTCTTTTTTTAAAAAAATTGCCAAATAATTTTTTATTTTTATGTCCAAACATGCACACATTATGGAATGGCTAAATTGAACTAATTAATATTTGCATTATCTCACGTACTTACCATTTTTTTGTGGAAACACTTAAATTTTCTCAGCAATTTTCAAGAATACAATACATTGTTAGTAACTGCAGTCACCATGTTGTGCAATAGAGTTTTTGAACTTATCATTCCTATCTAATTGAAATTTTGTGTTCTTTGACCAGCATCTCCCCAACCCCGGTACTACTTCTTATGGCATTCGTACACAGATATGTCAAGCCCAACCCCCCATGCTGTGTTCATTAAACTTTTCAGAAGTTTTGTTGAAAATTAAGGAATTTTAAAATTGTCCCTTGAAACTTAGTAGTCTTAAATAATTGTGGATATACACTTAGCTTTATTGGCTTAGGAAAAATGCAATCACTAATAATTCAATTTTTATGTTAATTATAATTCAGTACTTTTTCCTGAAATTTTTAAAAAGCACTGGTTGTTATGAAAAGTAAATTTTAGATTGTTAGACTGTTTGTCCCCATAATTTTGAATATTAAAATCTTCAATGAATAAGATTTACATACTGTTTTTTTTTGAGAGACAAGATCTCACTGTGTTGCCCAGGTTGAATTTGAACTCATGGGTTCAAGCAGTCTTCTTGCCTCAGCCTCCTGAGTAGCTGGTACTATAAGTGCAAGCCACCATATCCAGCTCATAATATTTTGACTAAAATGTTTTCTTAAAAACTTTAGTAGTCAGAACATCATTTGTAAGAACACTCTTTTAAATTTACTTAAATTACTTTTGGCTTCATTTTCTAGAACCTTATGCCTGTCTTTCTGTTTTACCTGAAGTAGTAGACATTTTAGAGATAAACTATATCTGTGATAATTGTTTTATAGACTTTATAAATGACCATATAAAATATTTTAACCCAAGTCATTCATTCATATTCTTTCTCTCTTTCTTTAGGAGAATCATTCTACACATGGCTAGAAGGTACACTTGTGTTTTAAATTTATTGACTTTTTATAAAAATATATTGATTTGTTTAGCATCAAGGTTTAGGTTTTTATTACCTAGAACATTTTGACAGTGTTTGAAAGAAAATGACATATGTGTTTTAGGTTGTTATATTTATAATAAAAATCAAAATGTTAAGGATATTGGTCTGAGAAAAACCGGTGTTACTATAAATACACCAGCCAGAGACTGTCATCAAGTTTTTATAACTGGTCCCCCAATCTTATTTGCATTCTGTATGTAGTGCTCATCCAAACTACTTCTCTAGTAACCAGTATGCAAATCTATTTTTAAATTAGAGACATTCCTTTTGAAAGAAAGTACTTTTTATATATTAAGTTGAGAGAATATAAATTTGAATTCAAAAGGTTCTAAACATATTTGCCCATGTTAATATGTTTCAGCTTGTCTAATTAAAAGATAGAGCATATAGATCCCAATGCATTAAATACTTTTGCATTCTTGTATTTCCAGTGTTGAAAATATGAAATGTTATTCATGTAAAGCTGAAATTCTGTAGGATTTTAACAACTTAGGTTAATAATCGGAAATATGATACTTAAGAAAATATTCTTTTAATAAATTGCTGTTTATGAAACTAAAAATTAAAATATACTAGTGAAGATAAGCAAGTCGAATGATATAGGCAAATTGATATATCATAGTCATGGCCTTATAGGAACTCTGCAGGGTTAAACTAAATAGTTAATTCTATTTTATGTTCGTTAATTGGTCATGCTATCTTATGAACATGATTTATCTTTGTTTTTAATGAACGATGTGCATATATGGGCCATATTAATGTGAACATTATTGATGAGCAAATACTGCTAGGAGTTACATGGAAAACAACTTATGTAGAAGAAGATGCTTAGCTTTGTTTTATTATTAAGCTCTACTCTAAGGATACAGATTGTGGAAAGTAGCATTTAGGCTGCAGGAGGCAGAGGTTCTGAGTGTCAATAATGGAAGATGAGAATGAAATTTAGGGACAGTATTGAATTCTAGATAAACTATGCCAGTCACTCTCTGAGTCCTACTGTTACAAGTAAGCGAATGCTGATACATGGTTCCAGGGAGCACTCCCTTATAGGCAACTGACTCAGCCTTTTCTGAGGTTGTTTCTTCATTCCGAGCATGAGAATGGCAGCAGTAACCCTACTAACCTCCACTGGGAGTGTAGATGATGCTTTAAAATCTCCTTTGAAAGCCACTAAACAATGTCCAAATGCTAAGTATTACTATTACAGTAAATATAGCCCTTCTGTGAGAGAAAAAGTTACATGTATTTAAAATGATATGTATACATATAATGTATATATAGTATATATAGATGTCTCATAATTCAGTTCCTGAAAAGGAATTTTAATGAAATTAAATGAAAAAGAGAACCATTTTCTAAATTGAGTGGTTGAATTTGCTCTGTATTGTTAGAAATAGAGTTAGTGGATTTTGCCTTTGTATCATAGGTCAGATTTTGTAGATGTTACTTCAGAGTAAGACTGAGAAAGCTTTTGCATGGACCTCAGTAGTCAGAGATACCATCCAGTCTCGGAGCAGACTGTAGGCCAGGAAAAGCTCTCCTGTAGTTTCCTGCCAAGTGTGTTGTGTGTCTCATTGGTGCACTGAACTGGCACATCTTTTATTGTTACCATTTTGCTTGAAGTTGCCTGTTCTTCGCAGTGTGTGGAAGTACATTTCTACTCCCCTCCCTCTTTTACCGTCCTTCTCATTTCACTGTGAGGGGCTTTGTGGACTTCGCAAATTAGATCTGGATCCCAATTTTTCAGGTCCTGATTTTTTAGGCATATGAACTTTCTCACAAGTTTTGCTTTGCCTACTGTCCTTCTCTAGTCTTTAGCCATTTTATTGGACAGAAGCCTGCTTAGACAGTTAGGTTGGAAAGAAAAGAAAGTGGACTTCAAATCTGATCATTTTGCTACTTGATAATAGACTTGATGAAAAACTTTTAGAAGAGAAGTTAGCACTTCATGTTTTATTACATCTATTCATATTTTTTGTATCCCTGGTTATAATAAACATTCAAAATTGGCCATATACTTTTAGGAGGAAGCTACAAAATATAATTTAATTTCCATCTTTTGATCTCCATCCAAGACAATTCAAATATTCTAGCAGGAATTCCAAATTAGGGAATTTGGTATCAGAATAATAATTTTTTCCTATTAGCAGCTACTTGCTGCAGAACCATCTATGATAAGACAGAGAGAGTAAATTGATGATCTGAAAGCTCTTGAAAAGATGTAAAATAAGCCACATAAATACCTTTACATTAACCTTTCAGCATATAAATGAGATTATTTTACTATCCACTGTGGAAGCCTATTTTCCCCTTTGCGGAGAATTTAGCAAAACCCTGTTGGGTTCTGAAAGAGAAAAAGGCTAATTGCTTTGCATCCTGTGACTTCTTAAAACGTATTTTTCTTCATTTTTATTTATTTTTTAAAATTTCCTATAAAGAATATTACTTTCCCAAAGAATTGTTTATTGTGAAGTATAATAAAAAATTTACCATCTTGATTATTTTTAAGTTTACTATTTATTGGCACTAAGTACATTCACAGTGTGTATTATTCTTACTGAGAGGGAATCTTTTTGTTGTTGTTGTCGTCGAGTTGGGGTCTCACTCCGTCGCCCAGGCTGGAGTGCAGTGGAGTGCAGCCTCGACCTGCTGGGCTCAGGCGATCCTTCCACCTCAGCCTTCCAAGTAGGTGGAACTATAGGCATGTGCTACAATGCCCGGCCAAGGTTTTGATTTATTGTGGAGACAAGGTCTCGCCAAGTTGCCCAGACTGGTCTCGAACCCGTTGGCTCAGGCAGTCCTCTCACCTCAGCCTCCCAAAGTACTGGGATTATAGGTGTGAACCACAGCGCCCAGCCAGGGAATCTTAAAAGGGAGGCAGAGGTAGGATAGAATGGCAGACTATCTTGACCTCTGTTAGTGCTGAGCAAAAAAAGTCTCTGTGGGTTAAGATGGCTGCATCAAGTAGTATTCCATCATATTCCTGAACTCCATCTGATAGGATTCCACTTAAATAGGAAGTAGTCAACATACATTTTTTTATTAGTTGAAATTCCTGGATGTTTATTTTCCTCACTTCAGCCCCTGAGAAGTGGAATGTAGAGTTAAATAGAGTTGGAGAATCCCAGGCAGAAGGTTAGTAAGACCCTTCTTTCTCCACTGTCAGGTAGGTTCAAAGAAAGGACACATAGGGAAGGGAAAAGGAGAAACAACTATTGTTAAGACTAAACAGTGACTTTACCATTACATTTGCTTTTGTAAGTTTTTGCCTAAACCACAAAATACCTGTGCTGTTGCCTTATGTGTAACATGGGAACTTGCCAGTTGCAGGAGCCCAAACTTCTTGTCCTCTTCTGCCTTACATTCTCATCATATTTGGTTAACTCTATTCTGAAGCCAGAATCTTATTTTGTTTTCCTGTGAGAGAATCTTGACCTAATTGCTTTTATATTATTCCTTGATTTATCTTTAATTGTTCTTTAATCTTAACTTTAAAAATAAGCCTATGTACTGAACCTCCTTGATTAGTTATTTCTGATGTCTAAATGACTGTGATTTCTTTTTTAAATATTTTTCTGAATAGGTTTGTGTCTGGAAAAAAGAGTCTTCTATAAACTTATATCGGGACTCCATGCTAGTATCAATTTACATCTGTGCGCAAATTATCTTTTGGAAGGTAATCAGATTTTTAGTGGAGATTTTGCCTTCAATTCATGTAAAAGTATCGGGGGGAATGCATATTCTCTAGAGCAAGAAAAATTATGCTTACTAAAGACTGGAGTGTATTTCTCTTTCTCTTTAGAAACCTGGGGTAAACCCAGTTGGGGACCTAACATCAAAGAATTTAGACGCCGCTTTGACCCTGTAGAAACCAAGGGAGAAGGTCCAAGAAGGCTCAAGAATCTGTACTTTTTATACTTGATTGAACTTCGAGCTTTGTCAAAGGTGGCCCCGTATTTTGAGCGCTCCATAGTTGATCTCTACACTGGAAACGTAGAAGAAGATGCTGACACAAAAACCCTTCTACTGAATATCTTTCAAGATACGAAGTAAGAATTGACTGTCAGTGATCTGAAATTCTCCACTGTACTTAAATGAGGTAGCACTTAAAGTACAACAAAAGCTAACTCCTAAAAGTTAGGAAAAGGGAGAACTAGAACTAAAAAGGAAAGTAAGTGATCAGTGGAACAAAAGTAATTTTAAAATATCACTAAAAATATTGACAAACATTGATAAAGCTTTGTCGAAACTTTCACATTTGAGAATAGGCTCTATATTTTATATATCTTATGTTTAAAATTTCTATTCTTAGAAATGGGAGGGGTCTTGCTGTGTTGCTCAGGCTGGTCTCGAACTCTGGGCCTCAAGCAATCCTCCTGCTTTAGCAGGCTGCATAGCTGGGACTACAGGCGCACACCACCATGCCCAGCAAGGCTGTATTTTTTAATATCACTAAATTTTATGTAACATCAAAATCTAATGCTACTTTGGTGTTATTCCTGACAATTTTACTTCTAATTACTATGTTTAAATTTAGATATTATAAGTGTATTAGCATTGAGATGAATACATAAAGGAATATTAGCTTTACCTTCTGGAATATTACTTTTGAAAAATGCTTGATTTATAAAACTTGAGTTTACTGGTTGTTAATATAAGCATAGAGGAAAAGTTAGATTAAGAAGTGTTTAAAGTTAATTTATGTTAAATATTAAAAGAATGTTGAGATTATTGCCTGTTTTTCACATAGATTGTTTTCAGTTAATTTTTTAGATTATCTTATGTAATTTCTTTAAAATGTTAGTCATATTAAATTACAAAGCCATCTGTATCTTACTTTAGTCTTTGTCACATTTCTATGTTACTAACCCTTACATATGAGTAAATAAATTTTATAGGGATATAAAATGCTATCAGATTCTAATATAAGTACTTGAATTTTTCATCTGTCACTTATATCACTGTCATTTTTATCAGGTCCTTTCCCATGCATTTTGATGAGAAATCTATGTTTGCAGGTGACAAAAAAGGGGCCAAATCATTAAAGGTAAAAAGTTCTTGATCGGGGGGGACAGAGTTGGGAGTAGCTTACTGGTTGTGTTTTAATCCTATTCATCTAAACTCTTTTCTTTGCCACTTCTCCAACTTATTGAAGTTGGTCTGATTGAATTTCACTATAAATGGTATAAAAAGCCGGGCACGGTGGCCCATGCCTGTAGTTGCAGTACTTTGGGAGGCGGAGGCTAAAGGATTGCCTGAGCTCAGGGGTTCAAGACCAGCCTGAGCAACATGACGAGACCTCGTCTCTACAATAAATCATAAAATTAGCTGGGCATGGTGGCCCACGCCTATAGTTCCAGCTACTTGGAAGGCTGAGGCAGAAGGACCGCCTGAGCCCAGCAGGTCGAGGTGGCCATGAGTGGGCCACTGCACTCTAGCCTGGGCGACAGAGTGAGACTCTGACTCTAAAAAATAAAAAAATAAATGGTACAGAAAGCCCTTCATATTTCATCTCAATTCCTTTCTTTTCTTTTTAGTTTGACCAAGTACTCAGTGAATCCTCAGTCATTGCTATGTCCATTCTGCATTATACCTTTATAAATGTATTTCTAAAATATATTATTTTGAGAAGTTTTATTTTAAAAATCAGTATATATTGTTGTTTTGATGCATCTTTCTTTCTTTTCTTTTTTTTTTTTTTGAGTTGGAGTCTCACTCCGTCACCCAGACTGGAGTGCAGTGGCTGCTCCCGGCCACCGCAGCCTCGACCTGCTGGCCTCCGGCAATCCTTCTGCCTCAGCCTTCCAAGTAGCTGGAACTACAGGCACACGCTACCATGCCCAGCTAGTTTTTGATTTATTGTAGAGATGAGGTCTTGCCGAGTTGCCCAGGCGGGTCTCGAACCCGCAGGCTCAGGCAATCCACTCACCTCAGCCTCCCAAAGCGCAGGATTACAGGCTGAGCCACCGAGCCCAGCTAGTTGATGCATCTTTCAAAATACTATGATCTTTTAGCCACTTTGAGAGCAACAAATAGTATATTTTTCTAAAGTCTTTTGATGGAATGTTGACATTTTTGAAACTATTTATGTTTTTTCTTTGGACTAACGAAAAGATAAAACATACCCATTAACCTGTGATATCAGAAGGAGAATATCTTTTGGGAACATTATTACACTTCATGTTTGGTGTTCTTTGTTTTCATTTAAGTATAATAATTTTTAGTGAACAAACTGTACCCTTAAAATGTTCATAAAAGTATTTGAAATTGACTGGCAAATATTCTTCTAATACAGCTTTACAGTCTTATATATGTAATTCTGAAATCCAGAGGGCTCAAAAAATTGAAACATTTTCTCATGTTTGGTGCAAGGTAATTTGTTAGCAAAACTTGACCTGAATTATTATAAGAATATAACAGGTATTCAGTGTTTGGTTTTGTTTTTAGAATTCTGCTTTGTATGAAAACTTACAGTTTGCTGCAGAAACATTAATGTATTTGACTGTAATGCAGGGTGTTGCCTCACATTCTGGTGGGTATTTTACAATAGTTTGTTTTATATTTCTAAAATTTAAAAAATTCTGAATTCTAAAACACAATTCACCCCAAGATATTTAGATATGGATTTGTATGTACTATAAGAACCAATGAATAAATACTGAGTGATTCTCCATTGGTGAGAGTTTCTTGCTATTTCTGTAATAAGTAATTTGCCCACAAATTTTAGTATTTTAGTATAGGAGGGTTGTAACGTTTTACAGTTGTTTTAGAGGCATATTGCTATGATGGTATTTAATACATTTGCTCCTTTTTATCATGCTTCATATTTTCTGAGTATTCACACATACATTCTACTTCTGATCTTCAGGATGCTCTTGTTTTAACACACAGGGCAACTACAATTATGTACATTTTTGTCCATGAGGAAAGGAGACTAAGCAAGGCCTAAGGTCTCAGAATGATCTTTCAACTATGTAGTGCTGGAATTTTGTTTGCTACTTTTCAAGCTTGTATAAAGGAGAACCTAAGTCCATTTCCATCTGCTCCAAAGAACATGCATTACATGAGAATGACCAGCAAGGGTCAAGTATTTTACTTACATTATCTTTTGCCAAGTATTAATCCCTTTCAACCCTGGGCAGGGCTTGTGGCAGCCAGAATTTCAGGCTACTTGCCTCCAGTTTCATGCAATAAAATGTTCTCCTCAGTGCAATAAAATGAATTTTATTTTCTATGGTTGCCATGTGAAACAAATGAGAAAACTTTCTCTTAACCAGTGTTATCCTCAAATTAGATGGTTCTAGCCTTACAGGCATGCCACACACGGATGCTTACAAGCATAAGAGTTTCCCCCACATAGGAAACTATTACAGCAAAATTAGCGATCCAGTAAGCATCTCTGTAGAATCTGCAGTAGCAAATGTCAGGGACTGTGAGACCATTCACCTCGCACAGGCCTGAAATCAACGATGCTAACTAAGCACCTGTAACAACCTAGTGTGGTGCTAAGGAGTGATACAGAATTATTGTTCTAGGACTAGCTTTCTGATATGGGCTTACATAAAACAAAGCATCAAAAATAAGTGAAACATAAAATAGATATCTTTATTGTTGGTCATACATAGGTGTCAAATGGAAGCAGCATAAGTTCCTTAAAGACCATGAATTATTTACTTTTGTGTCTCCAATAGTGCATATTTTGATGTTTTGCATAAAGTAGTCAGCAAACAGTTGGTTGAATTAATATGCAGAATGACTTTCATAAATTTCTATGAATGTCACTTGTTTTATGTACTGTTAGGCGATACAAATCCAAATCTTTTTCTTCACTGTTGAAAACACAAAACTCATTCATTAATAACCTTCAAAATTTTTATTTCTTATAGTTTAGCCAAATGCAACTTAATTTTAAAAGTCTAATTAGATTAAAACATTTTCTGCTTGCTAGGAGGAATTCCGATTACACTTCAAGAATATCTCCCGTATAATGGACTGTGTTGGATGTGACAAGTGCAGATTATGGGGAAAATTACAGGTATGTATGTTGTCTTTGTTAGATGTATGTTTAAGGATTTTTTTCTGTATTCTATGTTAGTGATTTTAGTTTTATCGTATCTGTTTCTATTGGTACAATCTCAGATTCATTTTTGAAGTTTGTAGTTATGAACAGAGTATATTCATAATTTATATATGTATATAAAGGTAAAATGTAGTTTTATAAAAAGACTGAAATGTCAGCTTTTGGTCATGGAATTTGTTTCAGTGATCAAAAGAAGGCCACCTAGTCGCAAAATAAGAAAGCTCTGTGGGCAGGTCTATTACCCGATATATTCAGTATAAAAAGGATTGTTATTTTCTCTCATATTTTCTTATAAAATAATAATGATTTATAGATAGCCAAGCGACAATTATTATAATGGAGGCCACACTGAAATCAATTTTTTTCTCTAGTACTAAGAATAGAGAAATTATTAAGCGTAGGTGTCACTAATAATCTCTAAGTTTTTAATTATAAAAGTATATAAAAAAGTACTTTTAAGTTTACAAATTGAACATTGTACTTCTAATGTGATATTTTCAGTGTTAACAAAAGGCATTTATTTTTTTTTTGAGTTGGAGTCCTACTCTGTTGCCCAGACTGCAGTGCCATGGCACGCTCATGGCCACCACAGCCTTGTCCTGCTGGGCTCAGGTGATTCTTCAGCCTCAGCCTGCCAAGTAGCTGGAACCATAGGCACACGCATGGCTAATTTTTTTTTTTTTATTGTAGAGATGAGGTCGGTCTCAACAAGTTGCCCAGGCTGGTCTCGAACCTGTGGGCTCAGGCAATCCTCTTACCTCGGTCTCCCAAAGCACTGGAATTACAGGCATGAGCCACCACGCCTGGCCAAAAGACATTTTAGTAATGTGGAATAGTATCTGTATCCAATAAGTGTAAGATTATTCAAGTTTTCTTAACAGCTTGAAGTGTATTATGTGTGTCTCCTGTGAGGAAGTAGAAACTACAGTTTGATATTTTGGTGCAAAGCTTAGTTCATATGAGCTTCCTAACTGTCCTACCAGTGGCTGCTATGCATTCCTTCATACTTTCATAATAGTTACTGTCATAAAGTTAATTGTAAGTTTATTGGTATTTTCTTTAGACTCAGGGCTTAGGAACTGCCCTGAAGATATTATTCTCTGAAAAAGAAATCCAAAAGCTTCCAGAGAATAGTCCATCTAAAGGCTTCCAACTCACCCGACAGGAAATAGTTGCTCTTTTAAATGCTTTTGGAAGGTAAGAACCATTTTTACAGGGAAGACTTTTGATTCCCCATTGGGCTTCCACAAGCTGCGGAGATCATCTCTCCTAAAGTGGTTTTATTTTGTTTTGTTGACAGAGATAAAATTATTATTTTATATTATACCTGTACTCATTTTAGAGTAGCCTTAGTACTGACAATTTCTTTACAAATCATAGGAAAAATTAATAGTTTGCAATTGCCAATATTTCCCAGTTTGCCACCTTAATGTGGGGAAGATATTCTCCTACTGATATTCTCTAGCTGACAATAACTTGTTCCAAAAAGCAGGAGTAAGGAATGGTTGGTTGAGAATGTGATAAAAGAAAAATGTTTAAACCCTTCATCTGTTATATTTCTTAAGCCGGGAGGTCATTTTTCTTTCATTCATTTCTATTCTGTTATTTTCTATAAACAAACAGATAGTTTGCTTGTTTATATCATCAGTGGTTTCAAAAATAATCTGTATTTGCCAACAAAGATACATGCAATGCCAGTTGAGAAATATAGAACAGAAGGAAAAAAAAAATCAAAGAAAATAATATGCTGCCTTGGAGAAAAGGGCAAAAATGTCAAATCAAGGAAAAAAAATTTTAAGAAAAATAAAGGATCAAGTAATGCAGAGATTATTACTTATGCTTTCTTCACATGCATTTCAAGTTAAAAAGAAGCAGTTAAATTTAAAATAGATTAATTGTATGTTTCCCATCTTAATACACAGCAAAGATTTCACCTGTTGCTCTCCTGAATTTAAAGATGATATTGTAGGTTGAGATTTCAAATATAAGATAGACATAGGGTGTCCATCATTAATTGGTATTTCATGAAAAATTCCGTCTACTCACTATGAAGCCTGCAGAAAGATAACACAGGAGAGACTGAATGAAATTTATTTAAAATCAAATTGAAATGAAAAAAGTTTTAAACAATTTGAACAGCTTAAGTCCAAATAAAATTGAGAAAGATGAAATTAATTGAGAATTTCATCAAAATTTCCCTAGGTCTCATAAAGAATATTCATAAATGCAACTTCTTGCTTTAGTTCGAGGTTTAGAGCCTTTGATTGTTCTCTAAAGTGTACTGAGCTCAGACTCAGGGGTCCTCGAGTTCTGGAATCCTGGCCTGCCCTTTAGTAGTTAGTAGTTGTGTGAGCTCAGGCAGATCGCTGCACTCCTAGCTTGCTCCCTGTCTATGCAAAATGAGGATGATCAACCTCACTGGTTAGAAGCCACCTACTAGCAGGTGACCTTGGGAAAGTTACTTCATTTGCTTGAGCCTCAGTTTTCCTCAAATGAAAAATCAGGGTTAATTATATCTACTTAGAGTATTTTTAATGTTATAATGAGATCGTATGTGTGATGGGCTCAGAACATTGCCTGACATTTGAGCTCTCAATAAATAATAAAGCTTTTTTTCTATCAAGTAGTTAAAAAAAAGGAGCTTAACACTCTATATTACATTACCCTAAGTCATAGGAAAGGAAATCATTAAATTTTTCTTGTATCAGCCCTGAATTTAACATAAGAATAATTGAGCTTATAGAATTATTTTTTTTGAGATTTCCATCCCATAGTGTTAATTTCGGGTCTGGGCTGAGAAGTGTTTCAATCAATTAATCAATAATCATTTATTGACCACCATAAGCATTAGTCATGGTGGGCACAGGAGAGCAACTCAGGAGGAGACAAAGTCTGACAACAAAAAACAAATTAGTGTGTTTGGGAAGCAATGAGAAAGGAGTGGGCATTTGAAGGAAAATGTGCAAAATGAATTTAGAAGGCCAAATGCAAATTGTTTGAGAGTCTTTATTGTCAGGAATTATTCATACCACTGTTCTAATGATTAATCTAGCATTTGTTGATAATATGAAGTAACTGCTTTATTTGCCCCTTCTAAACCAAAGAACTGTGGCAATGTTTTTGTCAACATTGAATAAGAAATTACAGCATACTAATTTAAAAAAGGAAACTTCAGTGTTGCTTAAGGTTTTTTGTTGTTTTGGGTTTTTCAAGTTGGAGTCTCACTCTGTCACCCAGGCTGGAGTACAGTGGCAGGATCACTACTGCTGCAGCCTCGACCTCTCTGGGTTCAGATGATCCTCTTCCTCAGCCTTCCAAGTAGCTGGGACTATAGGCATGCGCTACCATGCCTGGCTAACTTTCTTCGTAGGAATGAGGTCTCACCATGTTGTCCAGGCGGGTCTCGAACTCCTGGGCTTAGGCAATTCCTTCCTTGCCTCGGCCTCCCAAAGTGCTGGGATTACAAGCAAGAGCCACTGCCCCTGGCTGCATTTTTAAAATTTTAGATTTTGCTTTCAAATTACAGCCCTTGTTAACAATGTCAATAATTTAAAATACATATGCATCACGTTAGCTGCACTAATATGCTTTTTTTCCCTTCTACAGGCTTTCTACAAGTATAAGAGAGTTACAGAATTTTAAAGTCTTATTACAGCACAGTAGGTAATAAAGGCTTTTATATGTCTAATTAGAGACATAAAGTGACTGTGTAAAGCCTTTTTATCTTGGCATTCAGCAGAAAGAGACTAATCTTCTAAGACTTCAAGAATTCTGCACTCTTAAAGAGAAAATTCCAATGCTCACTTGAATATTTATGATTGTTATCAATTAGAGATATTTATAAATGAAGTATATACTTTTAAAACATGTTAAGTTATACTAATTTTGTTTAATTTTATGTGTTTCCATGTGTTGAATATTCTGCTATTTTGTTTAGAATTGGTTTTGTTTTTATTCTGTGATCCTTTAACAGTAAATGATTATGTCTCCACCCTTTTAATGCTGTTCACAATCTGTTATGGAAAAGGAGAACTTGGGAACAAATGTTACTTAGGGCTAGTGTCAGTAACAAAAATTTATCAATGATTTTTTAATATGTCTTTAGCCTTGCCTTTTATAATATGGAACTGTCACCATGATAAATGGCCCTTTAATTCCCCAGGACTTCAATTTCAATGGTTTTTGTTTTTGTTTTTGTTTAAGATTTTTAATTGCTGTTGCTGTGTTGTTTTTGGTCTAAAGTACCTGCTTTGGTAAAGGTGAATAAGCTCTCTCCCCTGTGCTTCCCAGCCGGATTTCCTGTATGTGGTGTTCTGGCTCAACAGTGTTCTTTTACTTAGCACTGTCTTTGGATTTTTGCCTTTCTCTGTCCCTAGAGATTTTAGGGACACAGGAATTTTAGAATATGTTACCTACTATTAGAAATAAATTGCATTAATACTTACTTTATAGATTATTCTTGGTAAAATTTGAATAGGATTATATGAATTTACAATGCCAATTAAAAACATACACAAAATTTGCTATTTTAAATTAAAGTACGTTTTAAAGGATTTAATTTTAAAATATAGTCTATGCAATCTTGCAATCTTCTAATTCTCAATGTGATTTTCTTTGGTAGAATATATAAAAAGTAGATGACGTCAAGCCTCCTTTAAGCTTCCCTCTCCTTACCTTTTCTTTTTATTTTAGTTCTTTGTATGTAAACAGTCCTTTGTGTGATTCGTACCAACAGATGACTTGTAAGTCCCAAACTGTCATTTTCTAAACCTGGAATTTAAAATCTTTAAACAATATTTAAAATCTTGATTCTTGTAAAGGTGTCAGTAGGTATGATAATTTGAAAAGTCACATCTGTGTAGAAGTAATGCAGCTACAAAATCAAGAGTTATTCCTTAGACTCTTCAGTCTTTTCTTAATAAGTGCTCTTAAACCCCGATCTTACCCTGCCAGAGTCTGAAATGTGTTCATTGATGATTTAGTGACATATTTTAAATTGTATTTAGTTGACTCATCCCTCTTTTAAAGATACTTGGCCATCCCTTGGAGGAAAATGGTTGGGACCAAGGTCTCAGAGTTGTTTATTTTCTCACCTGATTTATACCCTTTATAAACATGGGGTTCTGTTGTTGATGGTGGTGGTATTTTTTGTTAAGCTGAATAAAAAAGGCCGGCTTGGTTGGAGCCTCCTCCCCTTTTTCTCCTAGAGGGTGCAAGTATTGTGTGGGGTGGGGGCGACCTTCAGGCAAACTAAGTACTAGCTGAGCAATTTGGCTATTATATTAACAACAGTTATTCTTAGTGATCATTCAGAATTTAAGAAAATGTGAAAACTTTGCACTTTGTGTATGATAACTGTAAATTTTAAGGCCTTTTTGGGTAGCATTACTTCATTGTTTCCTCAGTTAAGATAAAGGCTGTTATTTAAACTCTAGTAGAGAAAATCTTTGGTCATTACCATGTATTGCTTTTTTCTGTACTGTGACTTGTTTTAAGCTTGGGAAAAATAGTATATTAGTGTGTTCTAGGAAATCAAAAGATCTAGTTAGGATAAAAATTCTTTTTAAGGTTTTAAAACATTTTTCACTACTAAAAAAATAAAGTATTCTTAAGCTGAAATTCATTTGATTAGCTTTGTTTTACCATAAATCTGATTGTGGAAGGCAGCCTACAATTTTGTGTATGTGCTGTATTTCTGAAATGACTGTGTGAGCATGGTGACATTTTATGGTTCTTATGATAGAAACTGTTTTTCCAGTTCACACCTTCTGTTGTAAAATGATGCCAGAGTTTGTGTTGTGCATGTGCTTAGCTGGTGAATACCTCTAGGCATTTTGTCTTTATCTCATCACCTAATTTAAAAATCCAGCACTTGATAATATAACTGACAGAAGTGATTGTACTAGCTGATGAAGTAATGGAAATGAAGAAGAGAAAAACATTCCTTCCTTCAATGGCATGAGCTTATTTTTTATAAGCGGCATCTATGTAAGTTAGGTAAACTATATATTAAAATTGGCAAATTTTGAATGTTTCTCCTTGTTTGTTAGATTATGAGGAGTATCAGACAGAATAGTAGTAAATTTCAGTTTTGAAATAGATGAGTCAAAATGTTTTGACATTTTAACATACGTGTATTCAAGATTTGGAATCTCTGTATATGAAGTGTGTCATGTTTTTCAACTCTGCCTAGGTGCCATTGTATATAAGAAAGGACAGCTGTTTTTATCTTCATCAGCATTGCCTTCAGCTGGAAATTGGCAACAGTTCACAGTAAACCTCCCAGCAGTTTGCAGATTGAAGTACCTGCAGAAACCTTAGCTGTTCACCAAAACACAGATTAGGAGTATGGTATTGTGGAAATTATTTGGTAAAAAACAAAATACACACACACAAATTTACATGTACTCTGTTTTAAATAACATCTACAGGTGCAGCTTTAAGTTATGAACAGAATTCCAAGTAATTTATTGTTGTACCCACCAGAATCTAGAAAATATGAATTAAAGTACATGTTTCTGCAGTCTTTTCTGTTTTGTTTTTTATCTTCTATTTTAAGTGTTTCTTTTATGGCATGAGAATTTGATTGTAATTTTTGGAGAAGGGAGAAAATACATGTATAAGTAGTAGTGACTCACACCTGTAATCCCAGCATTTTGGGAGGCCAAGATGGGAGGATTGCTTGAGCCCAGGAGTTGGAGTCCAGCCTCGGCAACATAGTAAGAACTCATCTCTACAAAATATCGGGAAAAAAAATTAGCTGGGCACAGTGGCAGCACGCACCTGTAGTCCTAGTTCCTAGGGAGGCTGAGACAGGAGGATCACTGCAATGAGACTGGATCATGCCATTGCACCCCAACCAGGGCTACAGAGTGAGACTGTCTCTCCCCTCCCCCAGCCCCCCCCAAAAGTAGCTTGAGTTTATTTCTTCTTATAATTACAAGCATTGGCAAACTCTGTATTAAGGGCTTTATATCATTTGGCTTTAAATACTTCACAACAGCACTAGTAGGAAGGCATAATTATTTTTCATAGTCATAGCTGGGCATGGTACTCACACACTTGTAATCCCAGCACTTTGGGAGGCTGGGGCAGGAGGATCACCTGAACCCAGGAGGTCGAGGCTGCAGTGAGCAATCATGCCACTGCATTCCCAGCCTGGGTAACAAAGTGAGACCTGAACTAAAAAAAAACAAAACAAGTTTAAAAAAATTATTTCTTCATCTTATAAATCAGAAAACCAAGGGTAAAAGAGGTTAAGAAACTTGTCTGTGCACAAATACTAGGTTGTGGACCTAGAATGTGAGACCAGAAAGTCTGACTCTAGAACCTCTACTCATAATGTGGTCTGTCTGTGACATTTAGTTGGCCTATTACTGTTCAACTGAAAAGTGGGAACTTCCAGCATCTTTTGATTTGTATTGAATCATAAGACTTTTTACATAATGCTTATTTTATTTAATCTTTTGAATAGATAATACACTCACATAGTTTAAAAAGTCCCAAAGAATATAAAAAGTTATTCAGTGAATGTCTTCTATCCTTGGCCAAACTTCTCACCATAAATAACCTTTGTTCTGCGTTTCTTAGGTTTTCATCCATACTTTTTTAGGCATATACAAACACATACAAATGGAAAAGCTTATTCTCTCATTTTTACCCCCAAATTAACATCGTATACATACTATTTGCTTTTGTTCCTTTAGTATGTCTTGACAGTCTTCTCATATCACTAGTTTTTTCATTTTCTTAGTAGATACTTGGTATTCCATTATGGATGTGCCCTTGATGAACCAGTCCCTTATTAATTGGCAGCTGGACAGTTTCCAGGCCTGGTACGTATGTCATTTCACATTTATATAAATATGTACCTATAGGAAAAATTCCCCAAAATGAAGTTTTGAAGTCAAAGACCATGTGCATTTGTACTTTTGAAAGATGCTGGCATACTGTCCTTCATGGGGTAGTTCCCAGTTGATATACCACAACCTCACCAACAGAGAGATTATTAAGATGTTGGCGTTTGGCCATTATGATAGATCAAAACAATTATATATCAATGTGAAAATTCTTATTATGAGTAAGGTTGACCACCTTTTAATATGTTTAATAGCCACTGAGGTTTATCTTTGTGTTCATATCTTTTGCCCATTTTCTACCATATTGTTTTTCCCCATATTGCTACCTATTTGTTAGTGATATTAACCCTTTGACAATAATGAGCTACAAATATTTTCCTTCCCATTTGTCATCTGTCTTTGGGCTTTGCTTATGACGGTTTTGCCATGTGAGTTTCAAACAATTCTTATGTAGTCTGACGTGTACGTTTTTTAGTGGTATCTGGATTTCAAGTCATAGTTAGAATGCCTTCCTCATTCCACAGCAAAACAATTAATTCACCTACATTTTCTTCTAGAACTTCTATGATTTTCTTACATCTAAATTTTGAACCTTTGGAATGCATCCTAGTGTGTATTCTGGCATAAGATGTAAGTTATGAATTCAACCTAATTTTCCCCCCAGATGATTAACCCCATTATTTCATTTATTGAAAAGTTCATCTAGTTTGAGAGACTACATTTATTATAGATAAAATCCCATGAGTATTTAGCTCTGGGTACTGTTTCGATTTTGTCACACACCAGTACCACAGGGTTTTAATTACTCAGGCTTTACTTTTTAATATATGGTGCATTGGTCCTCTTTCATTCCCCTCCCCCTTCCTTCTTTTTTTTAAACAGTTTTCCTAGCTATTCTTACTTACTTTTCTGGAGGCACTTAAACAAAAATTCTTGACGTGTGGACAGAGCATGCCAAAGCTCTGTCCACCTTAGGTTCTCCCTCAAGAGTTGCACTTTTAACCACTTACTGTGTCACTCTTCTTTTAACTTGACACTTTACCCGATAAAGACACACTTTTTATGACTTTTCCATTATTCCAGTATTCACTGGCCACCACCCAAACAGGTCAAGGAAAACAGGCAGGACACAGGGCCTTTGCGGACAGAGATTCATCTCGCGCCTCGGTGTTAAGACTTCATCTCCAGACATGACTTAAGGACTGTCTTCATGTAAAAGCTTTGCTTTCCTTTTTATTCCATTTTGAATTGTTTGCCCCAAAGTTGGATATCCATCAAAGATTCATAAGATGGAGTGGCACTTATGTGAATACTAAACTTGTAAAATCAATACACAGTGGATGAAAGTGCAAGAAGGTTTTTCCTTTTTTTTGAGTTGGAGTCTCACTCTGGGGCGCGGTGACATGATCACGGCTTGCCACTGCCTTCTTGACCTCCTGGACTCAGGTGATCCTTCCGTGTCAGCCTCCCTGGTAGCTGGGACCGCAAACTGTGCCACCATGCCTGGCTAACTTTTTTATTTCTACTTTTTTGTAGCGCTGAGGTCTCACTACGAGGTCTCACTATATTCCCAGGCCGGTCTTGAACTCCGGGGCTCCAGCAGTCCTCCCACCTCAGCCTCCCAAAGTGCTGGGAGTACAGGCACGAGCCCCGACACCCAGCCAAGAAGTTACTTTCAAAAAGCCTACACCAAAGAGCAGGATTTGACTATTCGTTCCCGGTCCTAGGAGCTGGGAACATAACGGTGAACAAAGCAGATACACATCCCTAGCCTAACCAGATACACATCTAGTTTATAGTGAGAATAAACCCAAAGGAAAAGGGGAATGGCCAACGGAGACACCTGTCTAGTGGAGAAGATGTCCTCAATATGAATCAATCTTGGTGTCTTCCTGATGGTGCCATCGGATTGTCATAGATCGATGCTACTGATTAAAGTCATTCCCGTTTGTTGGTCAGAGCAGAGTCAGCATTCATCGAGTGTTCTGGCATCAGTTAGCTTTCCTTGTGGCTTTGCTCCCAGAACATCTCCCCCAAGGGGTGAGTGTTCCACTCCCTTTGACAGGCTTTAAATTCTGCAAGCCTGATGCCCAGACTCTGGGCTAGTGAATTCACCAAGGAGACAGCACACCAAGAATACTCAGTTACACAGATTTAATGGCCCTAGTAAAGCACTGTTTGTTTATCCTAAAGGTACCCTTTTTATACTCCAGTTCATGCCATCAAGGAGCATCATGACTGGGAACTGCAAAGAGACTTAGAGGACCTTTGTAGGTTAGTGAGACTTATGGTGAAGAGCAACAGGAATCGGTAGAAAGGGGAGGAATTTGAGGCAGCTTACAGGCTAGGGAGATCTAGTTGAAGAGAAAAGGCATCTGCTCCCCACTTCCAGGGCAGAAAATTGATGCTGGATCTAAAGAACCTACGATTTTGAGGGGTAGGCAGCTAAGGTCCAAAGGGAAGCAGGCTTGTATCTAAAGAATTCGCGTAAGGTCTTAGTTTCTGAGAAAACAGCAGGGCCCAGCTGTACGGCTCAGGGACTGGAGGTAGGGAATCTTAGGAAAAGCTGGGTGGATAGCCTTAGGAGTCACCGGATGTGGGTCTTGGGACCTCGAGCCTGTCCTGGATGAACTGGGCAGCCAATCTCAGAACCCCACACTGAATGAATGTCGAATCAGTCCTGGCCCAGAGGAACTGGGCAAAAGGTGTAGGGGCTCTGACACAGGTCTAGGCTGGGAGCACAGGGGCATCCTCAGCTGATTGAAGGTGTCTCGATCCTCCCGTGCAAGGGCTCTTCACGTAGCCCTGCTAAGAGCCTATCCTAGGGTTAATGTACGGGTGTTCCTGAGTTTCTGTAGGGCGGGATCACAGACACGGGCCAAGGGCCGAGTCCAGTGTCTCGCAGGTAACAGGTACCAGGGACTCGACAGACACTGAGTCCCACTCCTTTAGCCTCATGGCTCCTTAAATAAACTTTCTTCACTTCAGTCAGCTCCTTCATCTCATCTCCTTGCAACAGCTCCCCTGTCTGGGTCCATGAGCAGTCTCAAGTAGCATTACGCACTGTTAGAAATGTTTTCAGTGAGATTCACAGGATAAAAAGGGATGTATATTAGATGTGTCTGACCAGATCTAGACTGGTCTGTTCTTTACCATGCAAAACTCTAAGCGAAATAAATGTATTTTTAAAATAACATTTGTTTAGATGGAATTTTGATAAAAGTTTCAAATGCTTAGACTCATTTAGTTCTAATGTAAGTTCCCCTGCACTGTAAATGATAAAAGCCATATTCTAGTATTATCCACCATGTAAATCTAAGAAAGAGCCTTTTTCTCACTGCTTCTCAAGCTTGAGAATTTGCTAAGGCCTATTCCTTTCCTCTTCCCAGGGTTAAGTGTTCAACTAAGTGTCGGCTGAACACTAAAGCCAACAAAGAGTAGCTGTCTCAGCTTTTGGTGAAAGAGGGCACTGGGGAGATACTAGGAGCATGCCTAATCTAAAGCAGCCAAACGTGGTCCCGAGCACAGCTATGATGAAGGTGCCTGATACATTCAAGAGTAAATTGGCATAACTAAATGTGACTGATGTGTACATTGCAATGGCCAGAACTTATTACAGTCTACAACTGTGACTCCAGATGTTTAACCATCAGCTCAATTAAACGGGTTAGTTGTAAAAAGCAAACAGAGCTAATGAAAGACATGCACAAATCAGCTGGCATTTATAGACAGCTGCAGAGGTAGACACCTATTCCAACAGTCACACAGAATTCACAGGCAGCCTTTGAGTGCTGCATCAGACTTAGGTAAATGATGCTACATCATTTTCAGGCATACTGCCTCTTCTCCGTACAAATTTTAACTTTAAAAGGGCCAAAGTTCTCATCTCATCATGTTGCCTTAAAATAAGAGGGCATTTGGGTATTTTCAAGCCAGCCATCACCATTGTCATCACCATTTCTTGACCTCTCTCAGCACTTGATAATCCACATAAACAGTAGTTTGTTATCAGTAATATACCTAGCAGAAAAAGGAAATTAGGAAACTAAAGGGAATTTTAATTTTCCTCCCCACATCATTCCTGCAACATTTCACAGCGTATACATGCATGATCATTTACTATGAAAGACAGTTTGATACAATCATAGTTTTTTCTATTCTAATATGTTTACAACATTTAAAAAAGTTTTAGCACTGCCGTTTTTAAAAGGGAGGAAGAGAAAAATAGGCACTTGGAACATTGTTATCCTTTCCAACAAAAAAATAATAGTTCAAGTAAATATTAGTAGCTTCATCATAAAGTAGATGATGACCTTTATTAATTAATGCTAGATGGTTCAGTTTTTCTGTCAGTAACAACAGAATTAATGGTGTTTACATATTATAGGTTGAGTATAATCACATGATTTTAGTGATATTCTTATCACCATATGTCAAAAAGAAAAAACTACCCTTAGCTGACCTAATAATGAAGGACAGTAAAACTTCTTGAAGACTTGATTGAAAGGAATTTGAAAGGAATTTAAAACATATGCTGAGTCTGCTTTTAAATTCTCCCAAGTATTAGTAATACAGTATGGTCACAGTAGGGTCTGTTAGGGCTTTTTAGAATAATCTGTAACATTTAAAACAATACAGGGTTTGCTTTAGTGTAGAATTTTCCCTGACAAGTATCTGCTTTAAATGCTATGCTACCCAAATTTTTCCATGTGCTGAAAGACAAGAATGTGGTTATGTGGGATTATGCAGGGTACAGGTGTTCTATACAAATGAAAAACCCAATCGTGACATTTGAAACTTGGGATCTCAATTTTAAATATCATCAAAATAACAGAAGTAGACTTGATCTCTGTGAAATCAACACCAAGAGATCAATTATACCTGAAGATCAAAATGGGAAGTAAGAGTCACTTGACACGCATTATGCATGACGCAGTAGGACTTCCATTTGATACACCCTTCCCTCTTTCCCACCGTCTCCCAGGCAGAAACATACTTTCTCCCTGGGAACAGTACTTCCTCTGGAACCTTATCTCTGTTTTGCAGAAAATTGGAGTACTTAACTTCCCAACAGGCTCCAGAGTAAATACAGTGGAGGTTTCAGAATGGCACTTCTGGTCAGGGAGGCAGTATTTTGTAACACGTTTTTTACTTAAATGGAAGATGACTCATAAGCAATTGTCTGCATCATGTCCTTTGCATGGCTAGGAGACAGGCGTGATGCTGTGTAGCCCGTTACAATGCTTCTGCCATTTTAAATGTGCAGCTTTTTAATAGGCTATTTACAGAGCTGTTTAAAAATAAAGGGCATTATTTTAAGTATGGTTGGAAATTTCAGAAAAAAATTATTATGATTTCACACAGTCTTAGCTCAAGAGCTTGGGGTATTTATCATTCACGCCCATTTTGGAACCTCTTATTTTCCCTTGAGTCAGGGAAGGGGTAGTCTTGTCATAGCCCTGAGGTAATGGATATTAGACTTCACTGGGCTGAAAAAACCATGTGAAATTTCTGAATACAGCAGAGGAGGTTTAACATTATAATTCAGTTACATTTTTAACATCACTGACGTGCACATTAGTGCCATATTGCAAGGACGTACCAGACTTTTGGCAAAATTGAAGAGATTATTTGAGGGACCAGCAGCATCTGGACCTTAAAAAAAACTCTGAAGAGCCACTGCTACCTTACAGTCTGCTGATAGTTCATTTCATTTTAACTTTCAACACTGGAGTTGCAGTTAGCTTTTTAGATGTCCATTGTATTTTAGGAGTCTACTAATGAGACAGTCAGAATCTGAGCGACCTTCAGTGACCTGAAGAGGTAAGGATTTGAGGAATGCTTTTAGTCCAAGAGCCTTAAAAAACTATCAGACCGTATATTCTATACTTTTAAAGTGAATGATGCAAAAACATTTGTGCAAACTACAACATATATTGCAATAATATTCTCAAGAAAATACCCTAGTATACTTTAGCATTATTATTTAAGTTATATAAAATACATCTTTATAAAAGTACAGATTTTCTTTAAAAAGTTTAAATTATACCCACTGAAATAGCCAGGCTCACTTTTTAGTACTAAAATAAAGGCTTATCAATCTACATTACTGCTTAGTCCTATGAGCCATTAGAAACCTGTAACAAAAATCAAGTCCTATTTCTTAAGGAAAAGTGCCCTAAAAATTCAGCTGTCATTAAGTCTTTCTGAAGCTTTTCAACTGAGGAATCTTCCATGAAACTGTTAACTGATGCTACCCATGACTTGGTTTGTCAGGATCCAAAGTTGAGTCTGGTTGCAAAGTTCCTGCTTGTGCCAGGAAGCTGTTAGTTTGTTGTCCCCAGTCATAGTAGTCTGGAGCAAAACTTAAAAAGGAAAAAAAAAAAATGTCAGTGATTTGAAGTAATATACTATGTATAACATGTCTAGTTTAGGGACACAGGGCTGGGATTTTGTAAAAACTATAGACAGTCTCAAAGTTCTATAAAGTGGCTTCTTGAAGTCCATTTTCCCACAAAACAGTGCTATGCACAGGGCTAGAAGCCCGCCCACTGAAGTCTATTGAACGCTTTAGAGCCCAGAAGTATAGTATAGTACTCTACTATAACTTTAAACCAGTCACTATGTGTAACAAATGTTTATCATCAAATTGTATTTGAATCCTAACTCTGTGCTATGGCTGCAGTTAACCTTGGACTCGGGCACTTCCCCCCTTTCTGTTTGCCTTCCCAGCTCACTGAAAACTGGGTGACAGCAGCCGAGGGGGAGCCCGGTTACTGTCTCGCACCCTCTACATATGCTGGTGTAAACTCTTATTATTCACCTCCAAAATATTCTGGGCCACATCTGCAAGTAGGTTTTCAAAAAAGGAGACTCTTCTTATTAAAACTCACATATAAGTATAACATAAGCACAGGTGAGACTTGGAGACAGGGTACTGATCGAATGATTACATGATATATTTCCCTCTTGGGGATTCAGGGTACATATTAGCACATCACAGGCTCTGAGAAATCCTGTAGTTTTTAAAAAATAAGTAAAGATATATGATAATAAATGGTAGTGACTCATAACACACATTTGAACAGACCGCCTGGGTAGAAATCCCAGCTAGCCACTTACAGCTGTGTGAACTGGACAAGTCACCTAACCTTTGGATACCTCAGTTTTATCTGTAGCATGAGGCTAATAGTACTGATCGCACAGGATTGTTATGAAGACAGAGTTGATACAGTGAACCTCTGAGAACAGTGTCTGACACACAGCAGGTGCTGACACAGAGTAGGTGCTGTATAAGTGTTTGTTATAAATATTTGTTTAAATTCAGGCCAAACATAGACCCTGCATTTAAATGAAATTTTCAATTAAGAATTGACATCAGGCCAGGCATGGTGGCTCACACCTGTAATCCCAGCACTTTGGGAGGCCGAGGTGGGAGGACTGCTTGAGCCTAGGAGTACCTCAGCCTAGGCAACATAGATGAAACCTCACTGAATAAAAAATTTAAAAATTAGCCGGGCGTGGTGGCGCATGCCTGTAGTCCCAGCTACTTGGGAGACAGGCCAAAGAGGTTGGGGCTGTGGTGAGCCAAGATCGTGCCACTGCACTCTAGCCTGGGCAACAGAGTGAGATCCTGTCTCAAAAAAGAAAAAATGACATTCAAATTTGAAAATGTGGTCCTTAGAATGTATAATTTATTCTAATAAATGAATGCTATTTGGTTTACTCACTGGCATTTTTTAAAACATGTGATTAAAGGGGTCTAGATTTCCTGCATCATGTTCCATTGAGTGATTCCATGATCAAGTACTATATTTCTTTCCTGGGGATTCAGGGTGCATATGAGCATATCACACGCTCTGAAAAATCCTGTAATTTTTAAAAAATTGGCTTTCTTTTTAAACCATCATTTCCCTTTCCATGGCACAGCTAAGGAAACAGTGTTCCAGGGAATATTATTTAGGAAACAGTACTGTATATAATCGTGCTACAGGGCTTTTAAAAATCAGATGTCAGTCCTTTCTCATGCCTGAATGCTTCACGTAAGAAAAACGGTAAAATGATCTGCGACGACTCTACCTAGCCTATGCTGCCTCCAGCTGCATAGTTCTTTTGTGGGGATTTTCTTTTCGTTTGAAGCCACTTCATTGGTGCAAGCTCTCGCCTGCTAAGAAGGCCTCTCTACCACGAAGCAGGGTCTTACCTTCCCTGAAGCCCCTGAGGGGCAATGTTCCAGGCAAGGTCATCGTCACTGTCGTATCTTCGAGGGTTGTCAAAGAAATAAGACCTGGGGCTGAATCCATGGCTGGGGACCATTCCAGGGTTGCTCTAGGCAGACAGACACTCATAGTCAGCATGCTTCCAGACATTGTGCCTAGTTTCTTCCAGGAGGCTAAAGATGTCCTGCTCAACCGGATGGACGCAGGAGTGTTCTACCATATGGACAGAATCCTCCGTCCGAGTCTTGCTTACACGGTGAATCACCATTTTAAAAATCCCTTACTGAAAAGCTAGACACAGTGCCCAAATTAGCCAGACTAAAGTAGACAGTCTAATTTGGATATAAATCTGTATAATCATGTGGGCATTCCTAATAAATCAAAACAACAAAACAGTAGTGATGAAATCATGTTGGGAGGGTTTCTCATCCCAGTTCCACATCCTGTCTCTATAATCCTATTTCTGTCCCCAAACTGAGTTCACTTCTCAATGAAGATAAAATAATTGGCCTCAAGAAGACCTTAGAGGTTATTGCCATTTTCAAGATCATACCTGCCCTGGGCAACTGTTGTGGCTTGAAATGCCTTCTCTGCCAGCAACTACTAAAAAAGGAAGTCCTTTTTGTTAGGAAATTAGAACTAGGTTATATGGCAAATCCAATCTGGCATATGTTTTTAAATCTTTGTACATATCACTAGTGTTCTGTTTAAAAGTTAATCAATAGAGTATGGAATGGGCTGTCCTCTGATGGGTATCTATATGTGAATCCTGCTTTTCTAAGAGTAATCAAGCCAAATATAAGGAGCAAAGCAGAACTTACACAAGGTGGGATGCCTTGGAATTTACTATTGTTAGTGGTTCAAGATTATCTATGAGCCACATAGAATGAAGTTGGACCCTTATCTTGTACTGCACAGATACAAAAAATAACTCAAAGTGGATCTTAAAGTAAGAGCAAAAACTATAAAACTTTCAGAAGCAATTATAGGGGCAAATTCAGCTGCTCCTTGACTTAGGATGGGGTTATGTCATGATAAACTCATTGTTAAGTTGAAAATAAGTCACAGAACACACACTGTAGGGTATCGGCTGTTCGCCCTCGTGACTGCATGGCTGATGGAGCTGCAGCTCGCTCTCTGTGCACCTCAAGACAGTGCTGTGCCCCATATTGCTAGCCTGGGAAAAGATCAAAATTCGAGGTACAGCTTCTAATTAATGCATGTTGCTTTCCCACCATCGTAAAGGAGAAAACTCATAAACTGAACCATCCTAAGTTGCAGACTGTTTGTACAGGATTTGGCAAACAATTCTTAGACATGACACCCAAAGCACAAGCAACAAAAGAAAACATAGGTAAGTTAGACTTCATTAAAATTAAAAACGTTTGTGCTTCAAAGGATATCATCAAGAAAGTTAAAAGTCAGCTGCAGATGAGAGGAAATATTTGTAAGTCCTATGTCTGACAAGAGATTTAAGATTTATCTAAGCTATATAAAGAACTCATATAATTCAATAATTTTTGAAAACCCAATTTAAAAATGGGCAAAGGATGTGAAGAGACATTGCTCCAAAGATACACTAATGGCCAGTAAGCACAGGAAAAGAGGCTTGACATCCTTAGTCATCAGAGACGCAAACAGAAGCCTAAGTGAGATATCATTTCACACCCATTGGGATATCTAGAATCAGAAACTGAGGCCAGGCGTGATGGCATATGCCTGCAATCCCAGCACTTTGGGAGGCCGAGTTAAGGATCACTTAAGGCCAGGAGTTTGAGACTAGGCTGGGCAACACAGCAAAGCCCTGTCTCGACCCCTATTCCCACAAAATTAGCCAGGTGTGGTGGTATGCACCTGTCGTCCCAGTTACTTGGGAGGCTACGGTGGGAGGATCACTTGAACCCAGGAGTTCAAGGTTCCGGTGAGCTATGATTGTGCCACTGCACTCCAGCCTAGGTGACAGAGAGACACCTTGTCTCTTAAAAAGCCAAAAAGTCAGATAATAACAAGTACTGGGGAGGATGTGGGAGGATCAGAACGTTCATGCACTGCTGGTGGGAATGTAAAACGGTGCAGCCTCTGTGAAAACAGTGCAGGTTTTCAAAAAGTTAAATGGCATTACCATGTGACCCAGCAATTCCACTCCTGGGTAGGTACCCAGCTAAATGAAAACATCTGTTCATGTGGAAAACTGTACACAAACGTTTATAGCAGCATTAGAATAGCCAAGAAGTGGAAGTAATCCAAATGTCCTCTCAGTATAGATTGTCAAGAAGCGTAAGATGATTTAAAAAAAAAACAAATTTAAGAAAAATCTAACAATTCTTAAAGCCCACTGATGTTAATCAATGGATTGAAAGGACAGGCATGTGTGTATCCACACAATGAAATATTATTTGGCCGCAAGATGGAGCGAAATTATTAATATGTGGTTCACTACGACAAAAATGAACCTTGAAAACATTCTGCTAAGTGGAAGAAGCCCGTCACCAAAGGCCACGTGCCATATGGCTCCATTCATATGAAAGTCTGGAATAGGGAACTCTATAGTCACGGTAAGTTAGGGTGGCTTAGGCTGGTGGGGGCGGGGCGCAGAGACAAAAAGGGAATGGGGAGTGATAAGTTAAGGGAAGCGCTTCCTTCTGAGGTGATGAAAACACTCAAAAATGGCTGTGGTGATGGCTGTACATATCTGAATATACCAAAACCCACCAAAGTATATACATGAGCTGAGTGAATTATATGGTTTGTGAATAAAGTAGTTGTTTTTTTTTTTTAAGTACATAATATGGACGGAGATTCTCAAGCTTTACGGTGCATTCAAATCACTGAAATGTGGATTCCCAGGACCTACGCCAGAGAGTCTGATCTGGGTCACAACCCAGATCTGACCTAAGAATCTCTGTTGACCCTAGGTACCCTGCAGGCTTCTCATAAAGACGGTAAGAACCATACTTGGAGTACACTGAGGCCAAGTTTAAAGACTTGTTCCGAATGAATTATGAATGCAAACAGTAGATGACATTTTAAAGAGACATTTCACCTGCAACTGTAAAGTTGATGAGTATGAGTTACATTACACAGCTCCCCCCAAAAGAATAATAAGCTGTTTTTTCTCCAAGCAATTATAGAAGGCAGAGATAGTAAAAGGATTATTAAGTCACATGAGTAGGAATTTAATTTCTTCTTGAAACCTAATGATGCCAGGGAGAGCCACACTGTAGTACAATAATTAAAATCATGAACTTGGGACAGGCATGGTGGCTCACAACTGTAACCCCAGCACTTTGGGAGGCCAAGGCGGGACGATTGCTTCCGCTTCATATAATCCACAGCCTCAGCAACACAGACCATATCTCTACAAAAAAAATATACATATTTTTTTCAAGTAAAAAAATCTTGAGCTAGACTGCCTGGTTTGTAGCCTGGCTCTGTCTTAGGATAGCCATGTGACCTTAAACCTCAGCTTCCTCATCTAAGAAGGAGTATAATAATAGTTTCCACCATACAGTGTTATTTTGCCTATTAAAGAATGTGTGAGTTCCAAGTCAGTGACCAAAAAAATAAAAATTAAAATAAAAATTTTAAATTATTAGAGGTCAGGCTCGGCAGCTCTGCCTGTCATCCCAGCACTTTGGGAAGCTGAGGCAAGTGGACTGCCTGAGCCCGCGGGTTCGAGACCAGCCTGGGCAAGTTGGCGAGAACTCATCTCTACACACACAAAAAAATTTTCGATAAAACTTATTGTAAGTGTTTAGAGAACAACGCCTAGCAAATGTTATAAAAGTGTTAGCTATGCTTACCAAATTCTGTATGTAAGCATGGCATTAAACGCTAGCAGTCTTGCCCAAGGATGTTTTAAAACACCAGTGCTTCAAGGTAAATTTGCCAACTCAAATTAACCTGCTCATGAGAGTTACTTCATGAAGAAGAGCCACACAAAAAGGGGAAGCGGTCTGCTATGCATCCTTCCTGTTTATGCATCCTTCCTACAGACCTTCCTCCCTCACGGTATTTCAAGAGGGAATGCAGTTCAGGGCCAAAAACATACTTTTAATCCGTGAATGTGCTACTGTAGGTGAGCGGCCGTCAGTGTGGTCAGTGGCCCCTTAGAGGTCCCGGCAGATCCTTCCAGGGATCTGCAAGGCCATGACTATTCTCATGATTAGCTGTGAAGATGTCATCTGCCTTTGCTACTGTGTCATCAGTGGCAGGAATGGTGCGTGCGGTGGTGAGTGACACGGCTGCCTTGGCAGACGTCGAGGCAGGGATGACTGCCCTGGCAGCTGTCATGTTCTTCACCACCACATACACACAGATTTTTTGTCGCTGTTTTGGTTCTTCTTAAAAAGAGAGACAGTTTCGCTCAAGAATGTCCTTGGTGAATCAGTAAAAAGCATTAATGTTTTGTTAAATTTCAACCCTTGAGCACATCTTTTTAATATTCTACGTGACCGAATGGGACGTGTGCACAGGGCACTTCTGAGAGCTGTAGGATGTTTGTCTTGAAGAAAAGAGTTTCTACAACTGTTCAGGTTGCAGCTCCTTTTTTCATGCAGCCTCATGTTTACCTGACAAACAAATAGACAAGTCAAGGTTATTCAGACTTGAGTACTTGGTAGACGTTGTCTCAAAAGTGAATCAGGTGAGCTGTATGTATTATCACTAATACCATTTGAGCTTTGAGCAAACATTATAGATTTGGAAAACCTGTATTCCCTACTTTGACCCTGACAGCTTCTCAATACTTAAAGATGTTCCTGATGAGGTTGGTGGTGATGGTAATGAATGAGATTTTGGGGGGTACTGAATAATGAAGACTTAGCGTTTGGAAGATCTGCGTAACTTAGTAAACCTAAGTTTACTTTCCAAACGGCCATTGCAGCTTTAGAAAAATCACACGGAGGTAAAAGATCCCAAGTGCAAGACAAAATAATGGATTTTAACGTGTCACACGATCTACAAAGTTCACTGATGTGGTATAAGATCCTATATTGCAACTAACTTTTAGAAAGCCACACTTGGATCCAAAAACACATCTCAAAAGTCACCCACCATGACCAAGTAGGCTTCATCCCCAGGATGCAGGGCTGGTTCAACATCCGCAAG